CGCCCCGCTCTCTCTCTCTTTTCTTGGCTCTTAAATTCCATGGCTCTGTATCGCATGGAAGGCTCCATTTTTTGTAGATCCTTCTTACTTGGGGGTGTGGAAGCTTGCCTTTTAGCACGAATCGTTTTTCTTTGCTTTCTCGGGACACGCCTTAGAAGTTCTTCCAAGTCTGAATCACTTGAGTCTGAATCTGAGCTTTCATCGTCGAAGTCACACGGCCCATCGACCCATAAGCCAGTTTCAACCGACGTAGCATCCATATAGCTATCGTCTCCTGGGTAGTAGCCTGTAAGTCGATATGTTCCACACGCAACGAACACATCCAAATGACGAGGGCCAAAGAAAAAATATTGGTACATTTCAACCATAGCCAGGACATCGGCAATGTATCGTTTCTGCAAGGCACTCATTATGCCTCTTGTAATAAAATAATTTCCATAGCCCGCCCCCAAGACGAAAAGTGGACTCGGTGCCAAGTTTGCAACCAAGTGATCATGCACACGAAGAGCCCCTGTGACGCGTAAGCTCACAAGAAAACGGTCCCAGTCCACAGCGCTTATATCATGATCCAGCATAATCGAGGCTGGATAGCGTGGCTCGAATCCATTGGCGACTTGCTTGGCATGTCGCCCCGGTATATAGAAAGGGAGAAAAGGGCTATATGTAGGCCCTTCACTTGAAGGTGGAGGCGCTGGTCGGAGAAGCGATTTAGGAAGAGCTCGAAAAGGCTTTCCAGCCCGATACTGAAAAGCTGTTCTCACTTTTCCCATCAAAGTACGTGATGGAAGTACGTGAGGTGCGAATGTATCCCTTGATGTGGGAGCCCAATCATCGTTAATGGGAATTAGGAGCGTTGGTACCCCTCTACTAAAAGAGAGAGTCTCCTCGGAGGGGGATGACAGCATACTTCCATGTTGGAGACTCTCCAACTTCTGTTGAGATCTGTGTATGTTCTGATCACTCTTTCCCATTGTATGGAGTGAGGACGTATGAAACTGTACCGAATGAGTCTTATATGGATACAATGCGGTGTGCCATCGGAGATTACATTTCTAGCTTGCATCTGTGTTGGACTTTTATTGGCTCTCCATAGAGAACAGGCCTGACCACTACACCGAGCGCGTAAACGTGATCACATTTGCAACATATTGTAGGAAGAGTTGAGAGTGCCGTTGCATGATTTTAGGTACCTACTCACGCTTAATTGATAGTATACCCCACTCCTCTCCAAATAGCTCGGAATTTCCGTGGACTTTTCGGCTCGACTACCACGTCACGTACACATTGGAAATTTACAAAGATTTCATCCAAGTAGGTTTATAGCATCCAGGCAATGCAAATATAGACAGATTTCGTTACGTACTAGGTGGCTTGCGGACGCAAGAGCACTCTGTCCTCATCTCTCCCTACTCTTAGTCATCGCGTCGATCCATGCATGTACTCGCACGGGCTCTTCATCTCGTGAGATTACAGGCCTGTCATGCCCAAATCTACTCGGAAGAGAAAGCTAAATACCAAAACTGCTCAACCAAAAGGATCAGAACGGAACGACAATGTCACTGGTCTTTCTACTCCGCCTGTGAAAAGGATTTTATCTAGAGCGATCAGCTGTGAACCTTGTCGAAAGCGAAAATTGCGCTGCGATAGAGTACAGCCTTGTACAGCTTGTGTTATCCGTCATGAAGAAGAAGGTTGTACGTGGGAAAAAGGAACGAGGCCCATATCTTCAAATATAAGCTTAGACGCCGCGGACGTGCTAGCGCGAATCCAATCTATCGAGTCGTCCATCACGGAACTGACCGCTCTGGTTCGTCAGTCCCATTCTCCTTGTCAAGAAGCTCATGCTTATTTATCGTATACTACAGCAAAATCATCTGGCAAACCAAGCCCTCCTCATGTATCAATACAGCCTACAGCTCTCTCATTCCACTGCTCGGACACCCGGCATACGCAGGGCATCTTGCTTTCCATTTCGAAAATGTTGCCGTCGATACAAGAGATGAAGAGCATGACAGATTCATTTATTGTCGAAGTAGACTATTTGGACAATATTGTGGGATCCGCTCTTGCGCATCATCATCTCAAGCACGTTATCAAGCTCCAAGAACAACTATCAACCCAGGAAGATGTCATCTTCGACTTGGATGCGGCAAAAGTCACTCAATATACCCACTCCTGTGCACTTTGCTTGCTTATCTTTGCCTCAGCGCTCACATATGCTAGTCCAACAAGGCAAAATTATTCCTGTATGCCTCTGAAAATGGCATTTATCAATGCATCCGTGAAGGCACTGGCGGCATTGGATGTGTACGGCAAGCCCGACTTGGACTTTATTCTTATTTCTGCGCTGCTGTTAACCAATTTTTTGTACGCTTTGAAGCCATGGATTGCAGCAGAGATTTTATACCACGCAATGAATGTATGTGATCGTCTCAACCTCCATAAAGAGCCGGCGACGTCGACTCCTTTCGACGAAGCCCGACGAAACGTAACATGGTTTGCTCTTCTATGTGCCAGCGATTGGGATCTAACCAGTACACTGGAAAGAAAGCCGATTGTTTATTATGACAAAGAGCAATTTCCTTCGCTCTTCGGCACTGATGAAGACCGCTCTCGCTACTTGTCCAACTCCATTCTTGCTCGCTTGCTATGCGCACGACTCTCCTACCGCACTATGGTCATCTCACGTAGTGGCCGCAGGACACCTGAGGAGGTTCACAAGCTGCACAATGATATTCTAGATGCTATGGCCATGTTTCAAAGTGTAATCCATGCTAGTGCGCTTGGCTATGAAGACACACCTAACATCGTGAAAGCACGATTTGCCGTTGCCGCCTTGCACTTTCTTCTGATTCGGCTTCATGTACCAGATTATACCCGAGCCTGGAGCGACAAGCAGTTCCACATCTCCAAGATTACGTGTCTCGAGAGCTCTGTGTTTCTTCTGCATTTGTTCCGCGACATTTTCCAAGTTCCGTTATCATGCTGTGAGCAAGGCACGCAAGGGCCCTTTTCACGCATCGCCAACTATTTCCAGTTCTCGTCTCGTTGGTGCTGTGTGGCGGCGCTGCTACTTGTAAAGCATTTCACACTGACGCTTGAGACTGGATGCGATGAGATCCCATCTTCGCGCGCAGCGGCGATAGTGCAAGACTTGCGCATTTTGTGCAAGATCCTCCAATTCTTGTCCCCCCCTGTCAGCGATGGCAAAAGAGGGGTATACGGCCATGCAGCGAGCAGCTGCCCATGTGCTCGATCGCGCTGTAGCACAGCATGCAAATCATGACAATGCGATCGTACTCTGGGCCAACACGCTCCTGAATCCAAGCAAAACAATGAACGCATCTACGTTCGAGCCTCTCTCATTGCTCAATGATATCATGACAGGGCATTCTCAGCCTTCCGACCGGCTTCCCATGCCCACGCAAACTAGAAACGCAAGTATCAGTGACGTCGCACAAATGATCGACAAAGCTCGTAGGCCATGGCGCGACGAGATCATCGACCCACCCATGGACGTGACGTTATGGGACCATTTCGCAGGGCTAGACCCGAATGCCCTGGTACCGGATACTTTTCTAGCACCATTATGGAGCTCCTTCAGTCACGATGCACCATGGTCGTTGGACCATGTGTCCTTCAACGACGATGATTTGGAGCGCTTTATTAATAGCATGCAGGACTCTATCTATACGTCCTCGTAGGTCCCAAAATGAAACAGACCCAGGCACATCTAGTTTGACATCCTCCTCATTTCATTCTTGAGCCTCCCTGTTTCGCTTCGCGCTACGCGCAAACCATCATGCCAACGTGAAAGTTTCATGTGCCTTTCCTAGCGGATCCGAAGTCCAGCTGCGGAGCATGTTGCTGCCTGGATAGGTAAGCCAGCCAAGAACAGGTCCGTACGAAGCTGCTATGGCGCATATGAATCTGGCATGCACTAGGCCCTGAATTCCCACGTGCGAATTTAATTAAACACTAGGTTTCATTCATTTGGTCCATTCTCAGATCGCGTCGTGACACGTGCCCCGCATCCTTGCGCAGAGACCACTGGCAAAACCACTACCTCCACCACTCCCACAATGACAAAGACTAGCTCTATAGCTTGTCATTATCTCGCTAGTGCAGGCTATCTCATTTGATTCGCACAGCCAAGCGCGCACTCAATGGTCTGTGCCCACTGCATCCACTGTGCCGATCCCAACATCGAGCTCATGATCCATCTCTTGCCCTAGGCCGGCCTCTTCCTCACGTCGAACGTGATCATTCGCTTACCCATCTTTACGTCCTAGTCCTTCTCCTCGCCAGTCTCTTCTCTACCCAAATCGGCATCCCTACCAGCCCGTCCCAGCCTATCACGCAGTCTCTCCGCCCATCGTTCGCCCCCGATTTTTCCGCCCAGTGCCTCAATCGCTTCACTGACGCTCGGCCACGCTCCCCGTCTCGCTTCATGTCAATCGCAGAGGGTCCTCCACCGCCTCACGTCCCGCCTCCCTCTTACGGTAGTACGCCGCTTCTGGGACGCTGTGTCGCTTTCTTTGCTGCGCAACCGCTCCGCTGTTCATGTCGTGGCGTCAGCCTTTGCTTTAATATAGCCAGCCCGCCTTCGTATCCAACCTACGTAGCGCCATAGCTCTCCCTCCCAGCGCGCCGTCGCATGCCCATTGTCTTCCTCCACTGCTTTTCATATGCTCTAAAAATAGTGCACATTTTGCATACGCACAGACCAATAATGCGCAAGGAAGCGACACAGCCTCCTTTAAAGAAAAGATTTTGGCTGTTGTTCTCTTCCTTGTACTGTGTCCTTATGTTTTCAACGTTAAAACAAATAACAAATACCAAGCGCCAGAAACTCAATTCACGCAAGGATGATCTTGCAGCGTTCCGTCGACGTATCCAGGATCAAAAGGTGGCGTCATCTGCGGATCCCAACCTCGTCTTGACTCTCATCGAGGAGATGGAGGCGTGGGGGTACAAGTTCCCTGACAACAATGAAATTCGGACGTGGAAAGCTTTTCTTCGGCAATCTGAGTTCGATCACAACATCGATGCGGCAAAGGTCCTCACTTGGGGGGCTTCTCTCTCTAAAAAGCTGCAAGTTCTCGAAAATCGGTACAAACTTAGCGACGTGTACTGCTCTCTTGTTCTGCAATGGGTCCTTGAATCTTCGTCCACTTCGAACAAAGAGACAGCAGAGCAGAGCACGAGAAAGGAGATGCTCGAGCAGCGCGACATTTGGGACTCCTACGCGTTTCGGCAGAAAGACGTCGACACGGATAAGATCATGGCGTACCTTGAAACACTTTTTGCACCAGCGTCCGGCGGGACTTCGCTCGACAAGAAGCCGCTCGACAGAGTTCGGGAGTCTCTCTCCAACAGTACGGCAGATATGGTTACTATCAACATGTCCTCCATTAGAGATGCCATCGACTGTCTATTGAAGGAAGATCTTTTTGACGGCGAGAAGCGGAAAAGTCTGGAATCCTTTCGTGAGAACAGTATCATCCTTAATGAACTTGCTGATGTGATACGCTCTGACACGCTCAAAATCGAAGATTGGACTTGGATCGATCCTCCTGTTGCTCTGCACATTCGTCGCCATATTAACGGCAAGTATCGTGTGTACATGGACGAAGACATTATTCAAGCTATCTTTCTTCATCTTGTAGGAATGGCATGGTCTAAAAAAGTACGAGGTCTATTCGCAGAGCTTTTCTTGATGCGCTCTGTTTGGAAGAGATCAGGTTCTGCCACAACCTTGACTAAGAAGGATATCATTCGCCGCAAGAAGTTTTTGGGCTCGTCTCATGAGAACAATTCCTTGCACTCAAGCATGTACCGCCATCGTGAAAACCTGTATACCAACAACTATTTCTTGGCTCAGCTTCCTACCGATCAGCATTACGCTGCATACGATGAAGACGTGGGCAAAGTCAACAATGATAGCAAAGGGGCGGGTGCTATTAAGCACAAGACACTTCGCTTGATCACCACAGAGCTCCTGATTCAACGCGAATTGCATGGCGAGTGCACGTACTTCCAAACTGATTTTAAATGGTTTGGGCCGTCTATACCTCATGCCACGCTCCTCACTGTGATGCGATTCTTCCATATCCCATCACCCTGGCTGAAGTTTTTCGAGACGTTTTTGCAGCCTACTGTGATTTTTGCCATGGATGGTGAGCACGCGGCGCCTCGTCGCCGCGTATGTGGAATTCCCATGAGCCATGTGCTGAGCACCTTTATGGGAGAACTGCTCCTCTTTGTTCTGGACTTTGCCGTGAATCAGTCCACCAACGGGCGGAACCTGTATCGTTTCTTTGATGACATCCATTTCTTTGGTGGCCAGGCTGATTGTGTTGCGGCCTGGACCACAATTCAGGAATATACACAAGTGATGGGCCTAGAACTCAACCGTGAGAAAAGTGCTTCCATTACCTGTGCTATGCCCGGACATACAGTCGAGCCATCGGCCATATTGCCCGACGGCGTTGTTCGCTGGGGCTTTTTACAGCTGACATCTCGAGGCCAATGGGAGGTTAACAAGGAGGCATTGTCGGATAATATTCAGGAAATGACACATCAGCTGCAGGCGTGCCAAAATGTCTTCACGTTTGTGCACGCCTACAACACCTATATCCGCTTTATCGCCCACAATCTCGGCCACATAGGCTGGGCTCTAGGTCAAGATCATGCAAAACTGGTCATGTCTTCGATATCCCACGTACAATCAGCAGTATCCTCTCAACTATCCCGCGGAAAGCATACCGACATTGTCTCTTATCTCCGGGACTGGATTTGTGAAGCGCTGCAGCTGCGTGATACAGATTTCCATCTCCCAACCGAGTTTTTCTACTTCCCTACTAGCATGGGCGGCCTCAACATCCACAACCCGCTCGCAAAATTCCTCGGGAGTGTCGATGAGCTCTGGCCTGATGTTCCCAAGCGTATCACTGATACGATCCAACGAGAACGTGATACCTATGAAACTCTCAAGAAGAAATTTGATTCGGGCGAAACGCACGACAATGAGCTGGACGTGGACGAGCCGTTTATGAGCTACGAAGAGTATGCCAAAGCCTTCGAAGAGCGGAGTGAACATCTAGGCTCGCTGTATGACGACATGCTAAGCAGCTTTGAGCATACTCCGCTGCCTCTTTCAATGCATGCTGAAGAAATGGAGACACAGTATAGCGAGATCCATCACCATCAGCGGCACTCCAAGGCCGAAAACTGGACGCTCGAAATGTACGGCGCAGACGCCTTTGAGCACTTTGGCGACCTTGATATCTGTGATACCAACTTTTTGCCGCTCGGCCTCGTGGATCTCCTTCTCAAGGAACGAATGAGATGGAAAAATTAGTCTAGCTTTTATCCTCTGTGTACTCGTATTGGTCGCACACTGACACATGCGAACTGCAGCTCTTGTGCACGTGGATACATCGTCGTGGGGACGACGGCATGAAGAGGCTACACGCCAGTTCGCCTTGTGCAAGGCACGTGCTGTGGTCAGAGTCAGCTTACCCCATATCTTAGTCTCGTGTTCGTATCTTACTCACGCCCATGCATACGTGCGGCTGACAACCAATCGAGTCTAGGTAGGCTGTGGAAGGGCAAGATGGTAGAACCTCTCGATAATTTGTTTATCCGACTCAGTTCGTTTTGTAAGTCCTCTGCGAAGGGGCCTCGTCTCACTAATTTTATCGAAATGAAAATACCTGATCTTTCATAACCCAGTTTGTTTTTCCTGCATGGGCGTAATGGCTGCTGTGTCACGTTTGGTTTTGCCCTCGCTGGCTGGGTCACCCATAGCTTCTTACAGGCGGACAATGCAGGCTCGTGGCAATGGCGTATTCCTGTCATTATCCTGAGTTTGCTGTCGACTCCTGTCGCTGCATCTGTGTTCATGTTCCCCGAATTCTCGATGGCTCGTGATGAAGAACCATATCAGTACCAACTTTACGCGCAGAAGAACGGGGCCGGTATTATTTCCGCCTACTCGTCGCAGATGATCATCAAGATCCGTCTCACGAAGGACATTGCTCCCATTCTCGCTGGTGTGGTGCTGATCTTCAAGTTCCTTGAGATTTGTGCCACGCCATTGATAGGTTCGATCGTCGCTTTCACTATGTCGTGTCGGCCATCAGCATGTGTATCTGTACGCTTTTGCTCGCCATTTGCGGCTCGTAAACAGGCCCTGGTCGTCCAGTAGGTGGCTACGCTGCAACGGTGTTTGTGTATATTTTCTCCTTCGAATCTTTGGCGTCCATTGGCCAGAACTTTTTGTACACGCAAGAAATTGTGAACACCAGCTACCGTGCGCAGGCATCCAGTACGGCGCTCATCTTGTTCTGGGCAACGCAGCTGTGTGTGACGCTGGTGACGCCCATTGGTCTCGAGCGTCTCGACCGGCAGTTCTACTTTGTTTGGTTCGCTCTTTGCTTGATCAACATCCCGCTAGTGTGGTTCTTCTACCCAGAGGCGAAGAACCTCTCTATGGAAGAGAGAGAGAGAGAGCGTATTTAGCTCAATGCTGGTCCATTGACCGCTGTCAAGGCATCGTACCGCCTCATTCACGAAAAGAAGGCCGGCGGTCACGTTGACTTTGTCGACACGCATGTGGATACGGAGAAAAAGGATACGATGGACGGCGTCAAGTCAGCGCTTTGGGCTTGGTCCTGGGTGACGAATTGGATAGTGTAAATGTATAGGTATAATCAGGGTTCATACAACATGATATTTTACGCTTACACACGCTGGCCATGCTCATCCAGCACCCGTTCCCCATCTTCCTTGGTAAAGGAGCCTCGCGGTTTCACAGGCATGATGTCCAGCACCACCTCACTGGGACGGCAAAGGCGTGTGCCTAGAGGTGTCACGACAATCGGGCGATTGATCAGGATCGGGTGCGCCATCATGGCATCGAGAAGCTGGTCATCGCTAACTGACTCGTTATCGAGGCCCAGCTCAGTAAAGATCGCTTCTTTCGATCGCATGATGGCACGTGTCGGTTGGCCGGTGGCGGCGATAAGTTCCTTCAATTTCTCGCGCGAAGGCTGCGTCTGCAAGTACTCGATCACCGTAGGCTCTTCGCCCGCTGCCTTAAGCAGGGCGAGCGTGTTGCGCGATGTGCCGCATTTTGGGTTATGATAAATCGTGATGTTGGGCATGATGGGGCAGAGGCAGGAGACGAAATCTGCTCCCCAACATGGTCAGCCTCCTCCACTTCCGTGCGCCGTCCAGAGAGTCTGCGTCGTGTGCCTGATTCTTAAGGAGCTCTATGTCTATCCGTTCTGTCGTATACTTTCTCTACCTATCTCTTTTTGCAATAGAACCTCACCTTCTTATCTCTTATCTATTTCCGGAAGGTGGACGTTTTGTTAATCCTCTTACTCTCTATCGCGCCATGCCAGACAAATCTGGAATTAATTTGTGCTATCTTTTTTTTTTCTCAATTATCTGTACGTCTACTGCTTTTTTATAGTTAATTCTTCTTGCTTCTACTCGCCCTCTCTCTTTTTCGTATGGAGACTCTCCGACGATCCGTCGCGGCGACGAAAAAAGCCGTGGATCGCATCGACACAACAATAGCCCAATCGCCAGTTGGGCGTTACTTCCGTCTCGATGGCAGTGGTCATCCCCTTGTGCGCAAAGGAAGTCGTTTCTCTGTGGAGATTCGTGCTGGTTGCGTAACGTTTGCCGCCATGGCCTATATCTTAGCCGTGAATGCGGATATTCTCTCTTCTTCTGGTGGTCCATGCAAGTGTGAGAGTGAAAATTTCTGCCGTGACGATCCCGTCTACTTGAGCTGCAAGGCCGATGTGCATCGCGCTTACATCGTTGCAACGGCGGCAGCATCGGTCATTGCCAGTGGTCTCATGGGCCTTTTTGCTAACATGCCGCTCGGTCTCGCGCCAGGTCTAGGCGCCAACGCCTACTTTGCTACGGTCGTTGGCGAGGCGGGGTCGGGGACGGTGCCCTATTCGCAGGCCCTCGCTGTGGTATGGCTCGAAGGCTGGATCTTTGTGGCCCTCGCCGTGTTTGGTGTGCGTCAATGGCTCGCTCGTATCCTACCAAATTCCATCAAGCTAAGTACCGGTGCCGGTATTGGCCTTTACTTGGCCTTTATTGGCCTGGGCCCCGGCGGTCTAAACATTGTTGGCTTATCGTATACCAACATTGTGGGCTTTGCTGGGTGCTTACCTGAGTACCAAGACGAGAACGGTGTATGTCTCTCGCATGTGCTGCAGAGCCCCAAAATGTGGGTCGGCATCTTCTTGGGCGGTGTGGTGATTGCGTTCCTCATCCTGTACCGCGTCCGTGGCGCTATGATCATCGGTATTCTTCTCGTATCCATCTCGTCGTGGCCGCGTGGCTCCTCCGTGACGCAGTTCCCGCACACACCTTTAGGCGACGAAAACTGGGACTTTTTTAAGCATGTGGCCACCTGGCGCAGCATCAATCCACTGGGGCCGCAGAACATCGACTGGCAGGGCTACGATACCGGTCATGCATGGTTGGCGCTCATTACTTTCTTGTATATTGACTTGCTCGATACGACAGGTACACTGTACGCCATGGCGTCGCATGCCGGCCTCGTAGACGTGCGTACGGGCGACTTTGAGGGCAGCTCGACCGCCTACATCTCCGATGCGCTTTCCATCTGCACAGGCAGTCTGCTCGGCTGTTCGCCCTGCACAGCGTTCATTGAGAGTGCTTCGGGTATTGCTGAAGGTGGACGTACTGGCATCACGGCGCTGGTCGTCGCGCTGCTCTTCTTCCTCAGTCTGTTCTTCGCACCGATTTTCGCATCGCTCCCTAGCTGGGCCACTGGATCCGTACTGGTCATTGTTGGTTCCATGATGATGTCAAGTGTCGCTGAGATCAACTGGGGCTATCTAGGCGATGCGCTGCCAGCGTTCTTGACAATCATCGGCATTCCCTTCTTCTACAACATTGCATACGGTCTGATCGCCGGTATCATCGCATACATGATTCTCAACATTGTACCGTGGCTCGTGATCAAAATCACACGTGGTAAGGTCGTGCCAGAAGGCTGGTACACCGACCGTGAGCCATGGGGCATGGCGCCTCCTGCGCCGTACATGGACTTGTCCACCAAGAAGCTGAACAAGTTCCAGCGGTGGGCGACGAGCAGTTTCTTGTTCCCTACGTGGCTCAAGAAGCTGATCGCGGGCAACTGGTACTTTTGGCGGCTGACCGATGCGGAGATTGCCGACCATTTGGAAGGCCGCCGCATCTCGGAAATGCATCGCAAGATCCGCGAAGCCCGTCGTGCCGACGAACTGGAGCGGATGCGGCACTATCCGCAGCCTCCGCGCAATGTGGAAGAGGAGCTCCCTGTCTCGGTCATGGGCGGCGCCGAGAAGTTTGAGGAGTTGTAGTCAGTCAGTCGTCTTTCCTAGCCCCCAGGTGGGTGAGTACCTTGTAGATTATTATCATCACGTGAGACGAAGCGAAGACGCGTCCTGGCCAACTTCTGCTTCTCCTGCTGTGCGTCGTCGTTGGACTGCGATTGTATGCACCTGGCGCTTTCTCGGACGTGGAGACGGGTAGCGTGGGGATCTTTCCAACGAGCAATGACCAGCGACGCAACGCAGCACATTGGCGCCTTTCGCCGCCTTGCGCAGGAGCGTCTGCCATATGCACCAGAGATGGTCGTCGAAAAGTGGCGCAGTACCAAGTCAGGTCTTACTGTGCTTTGGGCCAACTTTGAGAGCCCCATGCTCAATGCGTACATCACTGTGGCCAGCGAGATTTTCGCCGACAGTGGTGTGCCACACACACTAGAGCATCTCGTGTTCCTTGGCAGCCAGCAGTACCCTTACAAAGGCGTACTCGACAGCCTCGCCAACCGCGCGTTCGCGCAGGGCACCAATGCCTGGACGGCCAACGATCATACGGCATACACCCTCACGACCGCTGGTGCCGACGGGTTCTTGCGCATGCTCCCAGTGTACTGTGACCATGTCTTCTTCCCGACGCTCACCGACGCTGGGTTCGTCACAGAAGTGTACCATATCAACGGCAAGCTGGAAGATGCCGGCGTCGTGTACTCTGAAATGCAGGGCCGCGAAAATTCGTGTGCAGACCTCATGGAGCTAAAAACCCAGCGTATGCTGTATCCACGTACCTCTGCGTACCGCAGCGAGACTGGCGGCTTGATGTCGGCGCTGCGTGTGCTGACCATTGACGATATTCGGTTGTACCACAAGACGTACTATACGCCACACAATGCCGCGTTGGTCCTGTGTGGGCCGCTGGACCGCACAGCGCTCTTTGAGACGCTGCAGGCGATCGATCAGTGCTTCCTCGAGCAGGGCGCGGCGCACGGCGAATACGGTCCGCCAGGTTGGCGTCGGCCGTTTGTTGAGACGCCCAGTGCTGTGCCACCAGTCATCGATGGACGTCAGCTGCACTGCGAGGGCGTGGACGATGCCGATCCACCCATGGATCCGCGTCGTCGGCGTGTGTTTATTGACTTCCCGGAAAAGGACGAGAGCGTTGGTGAAGTACAGATCTCGTGGGTCGGCCCGCCGCTGGATGCTACGTTGGATCTGCATGCTCTCGATGTGCTTGGCACGTACTTGACTGACTCGCCAGTGAGTCCGATGCAGCATACGTTTGTCGAGAAAGACGAGCCGCTGTGTACCGACATCTACTTTGGGAACAACGAACGGGCGGGCGCCTCGGTCCTCTCGGCCTCGCTGGCCAGTGTGCCGACCGCCCACTTGGACGATCTCGATCGACAGCTGGATACACTGCTTCGCGACGTCGCGAAGCAGGGCCTCGATATGTCGCGTATGCATACGATTCTACGTCGCGAACGTGAGCGTTTGCTCAGCCAGCTGGAGATGCGGCCGGCGGACTGTTTTTCAGACGTGCTTATCCACGAATTCCTCTATGGCGAGCGCGAAGGTCGCGAGCTGGGTCAGGCGTTGGACGATATGAAGCGGTTTGATACGTTGGATACGTACACGAGCGACGACTGGGTGCGTGTGCTGACAACCTACCTGATTGACAACCCACGCCTGGTCGTCGTTGGCCGCCCTTCTGCCTCGCTGGTCATGCAGCTCAAGCAGGAGACTGAGGCGCGCGTCCAGAAACGCCGCGAGGCCTGTGGTGAAGCAGGCGCGCAGGCATACGAAGCGGCCTTGCAGGCAGCACGCAAGGAGAACGATGCCCCGATCCCGCCAGCGATCCTCGATGCGTTTGCCGTGCCACGCAGCGATACCATCCAGTGGATTAGCGTCGCGACGGCGGCCACTGGACCGACGACCGACGCCGAGCCTGCGATACCGTCGTCGCCGGCCGATCAGCAATTGCAAGCGCATATCGACCGCGATGGCCCTGCCACGCCGTTTTCGATCCAGTTTGATCACGTCCCCTCGAAGTTTGTCCTCCTGTCCGTCGTAATAAGCACGGCGCATGTCCCGCGTCCCCTTCGCTCGTACTTGACGCTGTATCTCTCGATGCTATTCTCGCTCCCGATTCACCGTGTGGACGGGACAAGTCTGTCGTACGAAGACGTCGTCAAGCATCTCGACGAGGACGTGCTCGAGTACGATGCGACCATCGGCATTGGCTCGAGCTTTGCCGAGTCGATTGCTCTGGAATTCAAAGCCCCTGCGGACAAGTATGAAAAAGCCGTGCAGTGGGTGTACGACTTGCTGTGGCAGTCGGACTTGGCCCTGGAACGTGTAAAGATAGCCGCGGCCAAGCTCGCACAGTCGCTGCCAGAGCAAAAACGCGATGGCCGTGTGATTTCGTGGGCGTTGCTTCGGTCGTTGCTCTACTCGACAACCGACTCGACGTGCGCCGCGAATACAGTGCTGACGCAGGCTGAACATGTCCCTGCGCTGGTGGACGCGTTGCAAAGTCGTCCAGACGAGGTCCTGGCGCATCTACAAGAGGTCCGCCACGCCCTTCTTCACCCGGCACACATGCGCATTAGCGTGGCAGGCGATGTTCATGCGCTCGCACACCCTGTCGCTCCATGGCGGAATGTGTTGCCGACCACGCCATGTGCCTCGCTGACGCCCCTGCCATGGGCCAGCGACGTGCTGAACACCCTGGGTCACGCTCCGCAGCGTGAGGGCCAGCTGTGTATCGTGCCGGCCATTGAAAGCTCTTATGCGGTGTTCACATCCAAAGGTTTGCGTGGCTACACGGACGACGACTATGCGCCACTGGTCGTCACACTGACGCTGCTCAACGCCATGGAATCGTTCCTGTGGCGCTACATTCGTGGCGCAGGTCTTGCGTATGGCGCCTCGATTCGCAACGATGCCGAGGCCCAGCACTTGCACTTTATTCTCTATCGCGCGCCGGACGCCGCCAAGGCGTTTGTGGAGGCACGCAAAGTGATCCAGGCATTGGCGCATGGCACACCGTTGGACGACGAGAGCGTCCCTACCTTTGACGAGACCATGCTTGAGACGGCAAAGTCGAGCTTGCACTTTTCCGTGGCGGACGCGGAGAGCACCGTGGGTGCGGCGGCGCTGGAAAGCTTTGTCGATATTCGTCTCAAACGTGTCGGCCGTGGCCGTGGTCAGCGTCTGCTCCAACGTGCAAGTCAGGTGACGCTGCAGGATGTGCAGCGCTGCGTCACACAATACCTACTTCCCCTCTTTGCGTCGGAGACGTCGGTGTGTGCGATTGCCAGCGCTCCTTCCACAGCCGAGTCCATTCGCGCGCAGCTCATGGCACTAGGGTACGAGATGACCGACGTGGATATGCCAGGCGGTCATGCCTCGGATAGTAGTAGCAGCAGCGGCAGCGACAGCGACAGCAGCTCCGAGAGCGATCGCGAATAGTCTTCTATGCATATCTACCGACACTGTTGAAACGAGAGGAAGAGCAGATCATAGCCCTCAAATTCGTACAAAATCCGATCCCGCTTCGTATACCCAGGCAGGTCCAGCGAGCGCAACGCCGCAGCGCTATTAGCATCCTCGCTGGTAACAAAGAGCGTCATGATAAAGCTGCCAGGCTCAAACGTCTTCACCACACGGTGCACCAATGCCTGCAAATTCGACACATGGGGGAAGGCCTCGTCAATCGAGCCTTCGCTGTCCATTGTGACATTCGTCTCGAATGACGCGTAGCTGCTCCCTGCCTCCGGCGTCACGTGGATCGTCCAGTAGCCGTCCGAATGTCCTGGCGACGCAGGGATCAGCGCGTTGGCCGAGTACCCACACGGCTCAAACGCAAACGCATCCAACTGCGTACGTGCAAAAAGTGTATCGAGCTGCATTGATTGCGACACACGCGCTCCCAGCTCGTGTGCTTGCAGCAGGTTGGAGTCGCTCTCCTTATCAAAGTAGAATTGGTCACGTACACGCTTCGAGAGATCAGTCATGAGGATCTCCAGCGTCGAGTCAGCGGCCGTCGATACGCCGCGAGGCGGTTTCGTGATCGACATATCCGCCTCCAACACTTCACTCTGCGCCATATACAGCATCCAGTAGTCACCATTCATTTTGCCAACGGTATACGCTGCGCCATGGTCAAAGTACCGATCGAGGAACTCCGTCTCGAGCTCCCAATCGCGATGCGGCCCTTTTTGCTTCTCAGGGAACATGAAGCTCTTGCGGCTGTAAAAGCACCGTTTCACGTGTGAGCCCAGCAACTTGGTATCGACATGGCCACCTATGGCCGACGAAAGCATCGCACTGGACACACTGCTGGCCTGCAGGGAGAGCGACTCTTCGTCAAAGAGCGTGGCCTTGGCAATCCGCAGTAATCGGTCCAGGCCCAGGAGCAGCGTCGTGGTACCGCAGGTCTTGAGTATAAGCTTGTGCGGGTATACAAACATGGACGACTCACTCAGCAGGTACGCATCCACTTCGTCGCTCGTCTCGACGCTCAGCGTCTTGCACTTGACCATGTCTAGCATACTTTCCCATGTGCTCCGCGGCACACGGCGAAGTCCAAGTCGTCCACCAAGTCGCGAGCCACGCTCCGCCATCGCACGCTGACACTCGGGCAACATCTCGACACTTTCTGCAAACCACAGCTCAAGGAGCTTCTCAGGGCCCTCAAACGGGCCGCCAATCTCATCCATACCTACTTGGATGTCCCCTGTATCATTCCACTGCGCCTCGGCGGCCGCCGCACTAGCGCGGGCATCGGCATCCATCTTGGCGTAGCCAGCCAAAAAAACAACCGAAGAAAAAAAAAAAAAGGGCGCGAGCGGGCGCAACGACGCGCCGTCTTGACGGCCTTCCTTTCTCCTCCACATGATGCAGGTCTGACGTGCGAGCGTACAATGCACAGAACGTCGAGCGTTTCTTCTTTTCATGCCTTCATCTGCCTCGCTCCTCCTCGCTCACAAGCCACAGGGCAAGACACTGTTGCTGGTGGGCGATGGAAAACTAGTGCATACACGCATTCATGCTGCGCGTGAGGCTGGGATGCAGGTGCATGTCGTATGGCATACGCGACCTACATCTCTCGCCCAAGATATACCTTTCTCGCCGATCGCCGCCTCCCTTCTTTTCCCACCGACCGACGCAGAGGCGTCCGCCAAGGACTGGGGACAGCTCTTAGACCAGATGGATGGGGACACACATGCGCTCTTTGCCGTGTGCGTCACAGATACATTGGCTACCTTGGCCGACGAGGCACCTGCACGTCGTCGTCGATGCGATCAACTAGCCGAGGCATGTCGTGCGCGACGGATCCCCATCAACGTGACGGACGTGCCGGACCTATGTGACTTTTCTTTCCCGGCGACGCACCGCTTCCGCGGTACGGACGACGATCACATGTCGTCTTTGCAGATTGCCGTGACGACCAATGGCCATGGCTGTCGCCTGGCCGGTCGACTTCGGCGCCATATCGTAAGCTCTCTCCCAGCCTCAGTTGGTCTCGCGGTAGAGCGGATCGGAACAATGCGAGAGCTCGCAAAGGCGGAAGCTGCTATGCAGGACGCCGACCATGAGGAGGAACCGAGTGTCGCCACATCGTTGGGGTACACGGACGCCACGTCCAAGCAGCGAGAACGGATGCGGTGGGTGGCGCAAATCAGCGAATATTGGCCACTGGAGACCTTGGCAGCATTGGAGCCTTTGCAGATGCAATCGCTACTCGCATCGCACACGCACGAACCGTCGTTGTCGACAGACGAGGAAGCGGAGCAGCGTGCCGCCAAACGATCACGGCATGCGCTCGCTGTCCAGCCGACACGCGCCGGCCACGTCTACCTCCTGGGCAGTGGCCCTGGGCACCCGGGCCTACTTACTGTCGCCGCACGCGAGATTCTCACGTCGCCCGATACCGATCTGATTTTGTCCGACAAGTTGGTTCCCACAGCCGTCTTGGCCTTGATTCCCAAGACTACGCCGCTGGTCATTGCGAAGAAGTTCCCTGGCAATGCAGAAGGTGCGCAGTCGGAGTTGATTGTGCAGGCGCTTGAGGCGGCGCAGCAGGGCAAAACTGTGGTACGTCTCAAGCAAGGCGATCCCTTTGTGTACGGCCGCGGCGGCGAAGAATTGGTCGCGTGCCAAAATGCAGGCATTGACTGTACGGTGGTGCCTGGTATTTCGAGTGCCTTAGCAGGGCCCCTGCTCTTTGGTATTCCTGTCACGCAGCGTGGCGCCGCAGAGAGTATGATGCTATGTACTGGCGTGGGCCGTGGTGGACGACAAGTACAGCTGCCAGGCTACGAGCGCTCACGTACGCTCGTTTTGCTCATGGGCGTCGCACGTCTGGCCGCCGTGGTAGAGACGTTGGTGGCGCCTTCCAATACCGGTCGTGCTGGCACGGCCTACCCACCTTATACCCCGATTGCCATCATTGAACGAGCCAGCTCACCCGACCAACGCATGATCGCCTCCACCTTGGAGCAGATTGTAGACGTGATGGAGCATCGCATCCCTGACGGTCAACGTCCACCGGCGATGATGGTCATTGGATGGGCAGTGCTTAGCTTGGCGGGCGAGCAGGCTGGCGCTCACATCCTGGACGACGCAGCCGCGTGTGAAGCGGATGCGTCGACCGATGCTTTGCTCACCAAGGACCAGGCGAGAATTGCTACGTGGCTCGGCGAGCGTGGCTACCGCATTCAAGAAGGCCTCCCGTTGGGCTACCGCCGCTTTGGATCGAGTACAGGCCTTCCGCTCACGGCCGACGACGCTACACCCGCCCCGCGCTCGTCCACGGGATGGGCAGCGCCTCGCTACGGCACCGACGGCGACGCTACGCTCGTCGGTGGATGGACCGCCGGTGAGAAAGACGCGCCGCCTACCGATGTAGTCACGTGATATCATCCCAATCGACGCGTACCGAGGCGCGTCCACGTCCTCGTCGCACGTCCCATAGCGAAAGAGAAAGCGAGCGACACAGGTGTCTTGCGTACGGAGCCCGGCATGTCGCAACCATCTGCGCCTACGCCTTCAGCGCATCGCGCATCGCGCTCCATCCCTTTCACACCCGGCCGTCCAGCGGCGCACCGTAGCGCGGCGATGAGTGCCAAGCAGTACGATCGATACTTGCGTCGCTTGTCGGCCGTGCAGCAATCAACTCGTCGCGCTATGCGGTCTCACGCAGACGAGACGCTCGAAGAAGAAAATGGGACAGGCACATGGGCACTCGACGCGTCAGATGCGACACCAGTGGCTCGTACGCCGCATGAACGTGCAAAGCCCTTGCCGCCTGTCATTCGTCAACTGGAACGGCCTACGTCGTATACCGAGGCACGTCCAGCCGTCGCACATACGCATGCGCCGGAGTCATATTTGAACGAAGCCTCGTTTGTGCTCAATCCCTTGAGTGGTCGCCTTCCTACGCTCAGCCCACGCAAACTCCAGCGCCCTCGCGTCTACGATGTGGACGAAGGGCCCACAACGCCCGCAGCACCTACATCTCCCACACGCTGCATTGCTCTGGCCTCCATTGATACGACGCTGCAAGATGTCGTCCTTGTGGAAGATTTGCTCTACGTCCTGGTCGGCATTGAAGGCAACTATGTCCAGTTCGCCCCGGACTACAAACCTGAAGACCTTGGGCATAGGCTGAATGGCGCGCGCTTCGTGCTCGATGCAGCCCTGGATCCGTCGTTGCGTGAGATGGTCGAGCGCATTTTACCGCTGGCCAGCTATTATACCTCGATTTACACGTTTGTCGAATGCGAGTCGGGCCTCGAGTACGGTACGGTGATGCATGCGCTGTGCGCAGCAATCCGCCAGCAGCTGCAGTCGTATGAAGAGCTGGTCGCGCATATGGAAGAGCGATTCCTTCGATCGCCCGATTTCACATTGCAGCAGCTGTGGCTCGCGATGCATCCCATGCTCCGTACTTTCAGCCTGATCCATGCCCTGACCTCGGAGATCGCTAGCATCACGCATGCCGATGTACTGCCACGCGACGAAGAAGAGGCAGCGTCAGAAGGCGATGCATCCGACGAGAGCCTCGAGAGCGATACGTCGCAGCTGGAGCGGGATCGACGTGCACTCCTGGGCCTCGACGATGGCTTGGAGGACGATATTATCGGCGGGATCGTCAAGGGCGGTGAGGTTCTATCTATGCTCTGGGACCGACTTACGCAGCTGGGCGGTGATCCCAACGCGCATGCGCTGTACTTGGAACTGTTCCGCGAAGCGTCGCAGCCATATGCACGAACACTCCTGCGTTGGATTACCAGCGGCGTACTTCTTGATCCGTACGAAGAGTTTATGGTCGTCGAAGATGCACGCGTCACTCGCGCCTCCCTGGAATCGGACCCCACGGATGAGTACTGGGAGCGGCGGTACATGTTGCGGGACGAGCGATACTTTGCGCAGCGTGAGCAGCTGGCGCGGGACGGAGAGCCTGTCGACGAGCAAGTAGACGAGGCTAGAGGCGCACTCACAGGCGGTGCCAAGATCCCTGCGTTCCTCGAGGCGTGGAAGCACAAGATCCTTCTGGCCGGTAAGTACCTGAATGCGATTCGCGAGTGTGGACTTGACGTGTCCAACGTCGAGTCAGAACGTGTACATGCGCTCTTTGGATCGCAAGATGCACATGTCGAGTCGTACTTGGCCATGGACGCGAAGCTGGAACGTGTCGTGATGGACGACGATGCGTTTTCGACTTGCATTGAGCTGGCGTACCAACGAGCGAATGCAGCATTGTTGAGTCTCTTGAAGAAGGACAAGGACATCATCGCACGCTTGTGCTCCCTGAAACACTATTTCTTCTTTGCTCAGGCCGATTTCCTGCAAACGTTTTTGGACCAATCACAGCATGAACTGCGCAAGCTGGTCGACCCACAGCGGATACGCGAGACGACGCTCCTCCGGCTTCAGACGCAGCTGGATATGGCTCTGGGCAGTTCAGATAGCGTCGGGTTCCTCGATCCGTATCGAGAGGAACTGCGCGTCGACTTGGCCAAGGAGCGGGCGTACGATCAGCTGCAGCGTATTGCGGATACGAAGGGCGTCGTGGAAGTCGCCAAGCTACGGGCCAAACAGCTTGCAGAGCGGCAGCAGCACGGCACACGCGAAGTGGCCATGTACCTCTTGCAGTTTGACGTGCATGTCCAGTTCCCTGTATCGCTGGTCATTTCGAAGAAAAACATATTGCGTTGGCAGTTCCTTCATCGGTGCCTCTTGCTCCTCAAACTGCTCGAGCGAGCCCTCACCGAAGTCTGGGTCGACCAAACGCTGCCTGCCTGGCGACGCAAGGACCGCCGACCCTACGCGGCACCGCTCGAGCAGTGGAAAATGCGTATTCACCTACTACGTCAACGTATGCTGCTGCTGGTCCAGCAGCTTCTCGCGTTTTATACCACGGAAATCCTCGAGCCTAACTGGCACGATTTGATGGCCAAGTTGGAGCGTGCGCGCTCTGTTGACCAATTCATGAAGCATCACTTCGACTTCTTAAATACATGCCGCAAGGAATGTATGCTAACGGACTATCGCTACTTGGAATGTCATCGCAAACTAATGAATACGATTACTGCGTTCACGGAGAGTCGCATACGATTGGCGGAGCAGTACGAGAGAATACAGGCCGCTGTGGATACCTGGTACGAGCAGAACGAAGCTGCATCTGCACCACCTCCGCCTGTGCTACCGGAGAACGATGTCCTGACAAAGATTGAGGCGAGTTGGCACAAGCACGCACGGACCTTCCGTGACGTGGTCAATTTCCTATCAACCACAGACAATCCAGCGGCGCTCCCGTTGGCGTACCGTCTACAAACATGGCTACAGTCGTAGGCGTAGGGCGTAGCTACCTCTATAGTATGGGGCACCCCATTTTTCCTTTTTTTCAGGCGCCTAGATCTGTGGCGGTCGGATGGCCGCCCCACGCGGGCAAAAATGGCGCCTGTATGCAGCTTAGGTGATCATTTCAGTTAGAGTTCTGATCGGTCCGTGCCACGTGTGGGCGCGTGGCGTTGGGTGTTGAAAACAGCTGATAAGGGCAGGATCGAGAGGACTTCGTGGGGCACAGAGTACTACAAGTAGACGGTCCTTGTGCTTCATTCCTCTTTTCCTTGCCTCTGCTGGACTACTACTATGTCGTCCAAGCGTACGTTTCTCATGCATGTTCTTACGTCATAGCCATTCATGAATTTGATGCCAAGCTGCTGATCAACTACTGGCTGCCGCGATCGCCTGACGCGAGCCAGGCCGCTGTAGCTTCGTCGTCGTTCCAGGCTCCGACGGCGCGCGTGGCTCAGATCGCATGGGATGCCACTTCGAATACCATCACCCCGGATGAGCAGCTGCCGAGCTGGGTGCATTCGTCCAAGCTCGTGGCCAAGCCTGATCAACTGATCAAGCGCCGCGGCAAGGCCGGCTTGCTCAAGCTGAACGCTGACTGGGCCGATGCCAAGGCATGGATTGTCCAGCGCGCAGGTCAGCCGCAGAAGGTATGTCCACATGCATGGAGCACTAACTATCCTTCAGGTCGAAGCTGTCACAGGTGTGCTCACCAACTTTATTGTGGAGCCCTTCTGCCCGCACCCTGCCAACACAGAGTTTTACGTCTGCATCAACTCGGCCCGCGAGGGCGACTACATTCTTTTCACGCACGAGGGCGGTGTCGATGTGGGCGACGTCGATGCGAAAGCAAAACGCCTCCTCATCCCTGCCGACCCAGCCGAGCCTTTCCCGGCCCGTGCGCAGTGGACAGAGACGCTTCTGGCTGAAGTGCCGGCGGCCAAGAAAGAGATCCTGACGGATTTCCTGGTGCGTTTGTACAGCGTGTACGTGGATCTGCACTTTGCCTACCTGGAAATCAACCCCCTCGTCGTTACGGACGACAACCAAATCCACTACCTCGATATGGCCGCGAAACTCGATCAGACGGCCGATTACCTGTGTGGTCCCAAGTGGGCGATTGCGCGTGATCCTAGCGTGTACAGCGACCGTGCACCCGCCACGTCCACACAGCAAGGCGAGGACCGCGGTCCGCCCATGGTCTGGCCGGCGCCATTCGGTCGTGAGCTGACCAAGGAAGAGGCGTACATCTCTAAACTCGACGCAGGTACTGGTGCTTCGCTGAAGCTCACCGTGCTCAATGCCAAGGGTCGCATTTGGACCATGGTCGCTGGTGGCGGTGCCTCGGTCGTGTACAGTGACGCGATTGCCGCGCACGGCTTTGCACATGAACTGGCCAACTACGGCGAGTACTCGGGTGCGCCTACGGAGACGCAGACGTTTGAGTACGCCAAGACGTTGCTGGATCTCATGACGCGTGGCGAGCCACGCGAGGATGGCAAGCTGCTCATCATCGGTGGTGGTATCGCCAACTTTACCAATGTCGCCGCCACGTTCTCCGGTATTATCCGTGCGTTGAAACTGTACAAGCTTGCGCTCATTAAGCACAATGTCCGTATCTTTGTGCGTCGCGGTGGCCCGAACTACCAGGAGGGTTTGCGTGCGATGCGTCTGTTGGGTGAAGAGCTCGGTGTGCCGATCAAAGTGTTCGGTCCGGATACGCACATTACCGACATTGTGCCGCTGGCGCTGGGCCTCAAGTCGGAGGCCGATATGGAGTTGGCCTCGTCGTCTCCGCCGCTACCAACATCGAAGACCAACGATGCTTCGGCGAAGCAGACGGAGCAGGCTGCGGTTGCCGAGGACCGCGTCGGAAAGCTGGACCCCGTCACGGGTGAGCGTATCCAGCCGCAAGACCACATTGTGCACTTTACGCCGCAAGACTCGACGTCGAAGCGTCCTTTCTACTTGCCCTTTGATGCGCACACCCGCTGCCTGGTGTACGGCCTGCAACCTCGTGCAATTCAGGGTATGCTGGACTTTGACTTTGCCTGTGGTCGTACGACGCCCTCCGTCGCTGCCATGGTGTATCCGTTCGGTGGTCACCACATCCAAAAGTTCTACTGGGGCACCAAGGAGACACTATTGCCTGTGTACACCAGCCTGGAAGAAGCCGCAACGAAGCATTCAGATGCCGATGTCGTTGTGAACTTTGCTTCGAGTCGCTCGGTGTATTCCTCGACGCTTGAAGTGCTCGCCTTGCCGCAGATCCGCGCCTTGGCCCTCATTGCAGAGGGTGTCCCGGAGCGCTTTGCACGTGAGATTCTCTGGCGTGCGAAGCGCGCCAATGTGTTGGTCATTGGCCCTGCCACGGTCGGTGGTATCAAGCCAGGCTGCTTCCGTATCGGAAACTCGGGTGGTATGATGGACAACATTGTGGCCTCGAAGCTGTACCGCGCCGGCTCTGTCGGTTACGTGTCCAAGTCAGGCGGTATGTCGAACGAGCTGAACAACATCCTCTCGCTTACCACCAACGGCACGTACGAAGGTATTGCCATCGGTGGTGATCGCTACCCAGCCACGACGTTCATCGATCACTTGCTGCGCTACGAAAAGGACCCGGCCTGCAAGCTGCTTGTTCTTCTCGGTGAAGTCGGTGGTGTGGAAGAGTACCGCGTGATCGAAGCAGTGAAGCGCGGTGAGATTACCAAGCCGATTGTCGCATGGGCTATCGGAACGTGTGCGAAGATGTTCACGACCGAAGTGCAATTTGGTCATGCTGGCTCGATGGCTAACAGCGATGCGGAGACGGCGAATGCCAAGAACCTCGCGATGCGTCAGGCTGGCTTCATCGTGCCGGAGACGTTCGAGGACTTGCCGACCGTTCTTCGCGCGACCTACGACCGCCTGGTGGGTGACGGTACCATTGTGCCGAAAGCTGAACGGCCTCCGCCTCCGATCCCCATGGACTACAAATGGGCGCAGGAGCTCGGTATGGTCCGCAAGCCGGCCGCCTTCATCTCGACCATCTCGGACGAGCGTGGCGCCGAGTTGATGTACTCGGGCGTGAAGATCTCCGACGTGTTTGGCTCGAACATGGGCATTGGTGGCGTCGTCTCACTGCTGTGGTTCAAACGCCCTCTGCCGCCGGTGTGCACCAAGTTTATCGAAATGACGCTCATGCTCACCGCCGACCATGGTCCGGCCGTGAGTGGTGCGATGAACACCATCATCACATCGCGTGCCGGCAAGGACCTCATTTCCTCGCTGGTGTCGGGTCTGCTGACCATCGGTGACCGCTTCGGTGGCGCTCTCGACAACGCCGCGCGTGAGTTCTCGTCGGCCTACGATCGCGGTCTTACGCCGCGTGAGTTTGTCGACTCGATGCGCAAGGCCAACAAGCTCATCCCAGGTATCGGCCACCGCATTAAGAGCGTGTCGAACCCAGACTACCGTGTGCAAGTCGTGAAGGAGTACGTTCAGAAGAACTTCGAGTCACACAAACTCCTCGACTACGCCCTGGCCGTAGAACGTGTGACGACGGCCAAGAAGGATACGCTCATCCTCAACGTCGACGGATGCATTGCTGTGTGCTTTGTCGACTTGCTGCGTGACTCTGGTGCGTTCACACGTGAAGAGGCAGATGAGTACGTGCAAATCGGCGCCCTCAACGGTCTATTTACCCTCGGCCGCACGATTGGTTTCATTGGACACCACCTCGACCAAAAGCGACTCAAGACGCCCCTTTACCGTCACCCGGCCGACGACTTCCACATCGAAATGGCTGCACCCACCCGCATTGTCGGCAGCTATGACCCGCACAGCAGTAACTAGTCTGTTCATAGCCCCCAAGCACCCCCTCACTACCATATCAAGTCAGCTTGTCCGGCTACGGACTATATCATGACACGGCCAGGACCATTTTACATCATGCAGAGACCCACCGTCGACACCGCCGTAGCGGCGAGCACGGTGTAGCCAAAGGCGTACGAGCTACGCAGCGTCGTGACTGAGGGTTAGTGTGATAGCAATACATACACTTGTTCAGATCCCACGAAAGGTGACGTATACCGTTGAACAGATGGTACGAGAACACGGCCGCCAGCGGGGCCTTCACCGTCAGCTTGAGCCACAGAGGAAGGTGAGAGATGTGCGTAAGGAGCACACCCGAGCTAAGAGCCTCACCGAGGCCCAAGTACGGCGCAGCGAGGTAGCCGATCGCGTACGTGTACAGCAGAGCACTCAGACCCACACCAGTGATACGGTTGGCAATCGACGAGTACCACGTAAGCTGCGGCTGGTAGATCGTCAGGTGCGGCGAGATCGGACGCTCGTTGCGCACGCGGTTCAGGTTCTTCAGGTCCTGCTCCTGCGACACAGGCACCGTCTTCGCCGGAGGCTGCTTCGACCAGGTAATAGCACCCACCTTCGACGAGGTATGCAGAGCACGCGGCGAGAGGCGCGCAGCACTCAGAACACTCTGGTCCATCGCCAGAGGCGAGCGCACAAGACGAGCAGCTGCAAACAGACTCATGCTCGATAGGTCGTCGACTACAATGGGAGAGAAACCACATCCGCACCGACGGGCCCCTTGTCCCCCAGCGCGAACCTGCGGTCTAGCCAACCACAGGCGCGCTATTGCGAGTTCAGCCTCGGAAGCAGCCGGATTGGCCTTCCACCCCGACGCTGACAAAGCATCGAAGGGAAGCCACGTTGGCGTCCAAGAAACTCCACCTGTCCAGCCCTCCATCGCCCACCGAGTCTCGCGTCGGTCGAGGAAGCGTACCATGGCAACTTCCATGTATGGCGTGGGCCCATCGTACGCAGCGTCGGCCAAGGACCGCACATCTGAATTCCATAGCATGCTCGCCAAGTATGCTGCATTAACACCACCGGCGCCAAGTAACGTCAAACGGCCCACCAGCGCTCACACTCAATTCTCCCAGCGGGCTCAGGCCGTGGCAAGCGAACTTAGCGCCACCACCGCCAAACTCGAACGCCTCTCACAGCTTGCACGGCGCAGATCTCTATTTGATGATAGACCTGTGGAGATCTCTGAACTGACCTACATTATCAAGCACGACATTGCCGGCTTGAATCGACAGCTCGCAGAGCTGCAGCAGCTCTCTGCACACAACCAGCGCAGCAAGGGTAATCGCGCAGAGGAGCACAGATCCAATGTCGTCACGATGCTTCAATCGACGTTGGCAAACACTACGACCAGCTTCCAAGAAATCTTGGAGGTTCGGACCCAAAACATGAAAGCATCCAAAGACCGCTCAGATCAGTTTTTTAACAGTGCCGCCCCATCTCTGGATACACAGCGCTCCAAGTCGCCTCTATATTCCCTTGCGCGCTCCCAGCCAGCATCTGCACAGCCCTCACCTCCTCCATCAACTCAACTTACCCCTGCCTCAGCCTTGCAAAAACGCCATACGGCTGCGCATCATACGATGCACGACGAAGAAGCCTCTTCATCAGAGAAGGGCTTCCTTTCCCTCAATATGATGGAGTCAGGTGGTCTACAGCAGCAGCAGTTCCTTCTTCAGGACATGGAGGAGCAGCAGGCTGGCTACATGCAGCAGCGATCGAATGCGATTGAATCGATTGAGTCGACTATCTCAGAACTGGGCCAGATCTTCGGCCAGCTTGCTCATATGGTAGCACAACAGGGCGAGACGGTGCAGCGAATTGACGATGACGTCTTGCATGTATCGGACAATGTCGAGGGCGCTCGACGTGAATTGCTCAAGTACTACGCCAACATCTCCAATAACCGATGGCTTATGCTCAAAATTTTCGGCGTCCTCATTGTATTCTTCTTACGTATGTACATGCTGCGACTCACCCTCCAGTCTTCATCCTTGTCTCCTAACGAGTTTGTAGTCACTCTGGCAGATAGGCGCCTACATCATGTATACCCCGCTACGTGGAGGCCGAGCTTATAGTCTGGTCGGCGTCATCTCATAGGCCACGTGCTGTGACTCGCAGGCACGAAGATTGCATACGAAGCACGCACGATCCCTTCGTTCTCCACTCCTCTGATCATGGTCGACGTGGCACCTGCGCCTGCGATTGCAGGCATGACTCCTGCCATCCCTGTCGGCATGCCTATTCCGCCTGATGAACCTCATGCTGTGTCTGTGTCGCTGCCTCACTGGCAAGACATTGTGGACTACGAAGAAGGTCGTCTGACAGACTCTATGAAGACGGGCTACCCCCGCTTCTTTATTCATCGCTCTATTCAGAAGGTAAGTGCCAATGAAACTAACATGCCAAGCTAGCGGAGCTTATGAGGACCAAGTTTGCCCGTCCAGGTGAGAGAACGATGCTTTTCCCCTCTTCGCAGCATGCATCGCAGTGCCGTGACTTTATTAGTGCCAGGGCCGCCCAAGCCGAGCCACCGCAAGCCAATGTGTCTGTACGCATCGTGCGTCTGTGTGTGATGGCCCACAGTGCTAAGGAGATGCAAACGCTCAAGAGCGTCAGTGTGCACACTCCTTCAGTCTCGGAGACGTCGATGAACTTATACATTGTTCTCTTCCCACAGACGCTCTTCCCGATCGCCAAGCAGTTCTGGCAGCATACTGGCGTGGGTATTTCGAGTCGTATGGCGGACGAATGCCTGCGCATTTTGGAGCACAACGAATCGCTTCTCCACCCGAATGAGACGGGCAGTGCCTCCGCGTCGATAATGTCGCGACGTGGCTCCTTGCCAATGGCGGGAAGCTCACAGCCGCGTGGTGGTGGCTTTGGCCGAAGCCGTTACTCACGTGGCAACAGTTTTGGCATGACCTCCGAAACTACACCGTCGACCAGCGCGACCAAGCTTGTGCCAGAGCCGCCGGCTGACGAGGACGATGATATGACATTCGAGCAGGCTGTGTTCATGGAAGAGCGGTACGGCCGGAACCTGCCGTTTGCGCTGTCCGCCGATGCCAAGGTTGCGCTGCGTCGTCGTATTGCTGGTACGCTGGTCGGCAATGTCGAGGACGAGCCAGCAGAGAGCGCTGTGAGTGCGCGTTATGCCAAGGGCCTGACAGAAAACAATGTCTTCCTCTACCCTTGTGGCATGGCGAGTATTTTTAACGCGCATCAGCTGCTAATGCTGGAACGGGCATGGACCAAGCAGGGCATTCCCATCACGAAGGAATCATGTACGTCCGCGCTACGTGCCATGAAAGATCCTAGCTTTACGCGTCTGTCGCATGGCATCGGGAAATCGGTATGTTTTGGTTTCCCGTACACAGATACGCTCAAAGTGCTTGAGAAGTGGGGTCCTGGATGTCACTTCTTTGGACACGGCACCGACCAGGATGTGGACGAACTCGAGGCGCTTCTGGCTGCGCAGCCAGACGACGAGCCTAAAATTCATGCGCTGTTTTGCGAGTTCCCCGGGAACCCACTCCTGCGATCGGCAGACTTGCCGCGGCTACGCGCCTTAGCCGACAGGTACGATTTTAGTATCGTGATCGACGAAACGATCGGCAACTTTGTGAATGTCGAAGTGTTGCCGTATGCGGATATGGTCGTATCGAGTCTGACAAAAGTGTTCTCGGGTGAGTGCAACGTCATGGGCGGCTCGTTGGTCGTCAATCCGCAATCAAAACGCGCTCAGCACCTGCTGACCATTCTTTCGGCCATGTACCAGGACAACGTATGGGTCGAAGATGCAATTTTTCTCGAGCGCAACTCCCGCAACTTTGTCGCACGCATCGCCCAGATTGATGAAAACACGGAAATGATCGTGGATATGCTGCATGCACAAAGTCGTGTGGCTGGCAAGTCCGAAAGTGTGGTTCAAGCGGTCTATTATCCGAAGTACGTCACGCGCGCCAACTACGACAAGTGCCGCCGTACGCAGCCGTACGCGCCTGGACGTGAAGGCCCTAGCCAGGGCGGATACGGCGGTCTCTTCTCGGTCGAGTTCACGTCGAAGCCGGCAGCCATTGCTTTCTACGATCATTTGCAGTGTGCCAAGGGACCCTCGCTGGGCACCAACTGCACGATTTCGTGCCCGTACACACTGCTGGCGCACTACACGGAACTTGACTGGGCAGCTCAGCTGGAAGTGAGCGATACATTGGTCCGTGTGAGTATCGGCTTGGAAGAGCCACCAGCGCTCCGTGAGGCGTTTACCGTGGCGTTGGCGGCTGCGACTGTAGCTGCCACGGCCTAGATTGTGTGGCAGGACATGACCTGTTTCAACAACAGGTAGTATAGATCTATGTAGGTTTGACCTTGGGCTTTGCATCGTCTGTCGCTGGCTTGACATGCAGTTGGACATGACCAGGGCCACCAGGGCCAATGCCACCGACTTCACCACCATGCGGACCATCGACGTCTTCCAAGTTTTCGGCACCGCTCGCAATGACCATGACGGCGCCATCCGCACTGAAGGCGGCCGTGCTCACAGGCGACGGCAGCGAGTACTGGCGGATGCGCTTCTTTGCAATGGGATCCCACAGGGCACAGTGCGCATCGCCACCACACGTCGCGAATGTGCCGTAGATCGGGTGGAAAGCCACCGCGTGAATAGGGTATACAACATCGATGCCATCGACTTCTTTACGGTGGCATTTGAACGCATACTTCTTTGCCTGCGTTTCCTGACTGGGATCCATAAACTCCACAGCCACACGTCCTTCGACCGATGATGTGACGTAGCCCACGCCATTCGGCATGCATCGTACGTCCCGCAACATGAACTTCAAACTGCTTTCGCGTTTCTGTTCCGGCTCCCACGATCCATGCCCATCCACAGCAGCGCGAAGTTGCTGTGTGTCGAAAAGGTATACAGCGCGATCCGGCATCGCGATAACCAGACGTGGCGAGGAGTGTGGCGTCGGTGGTGCGAGATCCATCGCAAACACCTTGCCAGGCAGTGAAATGGTATGGCGGTACGCCTCGGCCGGCGTGGCGTAGGGGTCCCATACCTGCAAGGTAGCATCCCATCCACCGGAAAAGAGCAGACCTGTGTGGGCATCGTACCGAATGCGACTCACACCTTGGCCATGTTTGCCCAGGATCACCGACTGGCCATTCTCGAGATTGAGTAACCGCACACGCCGATCCAGGCATGCACTCGCGGCCAACGACTCATTGATCCATGCTACGTCCAGTACAGCGGCAGGATGCTCGAACGACTGGACAAGGGTGATGGCATCAGTGCCTTGATCACAGTGTGTGAGGTCGTACAAACGCACCATCTTATCCCAGCTGGCAGCTAGGAGATGGTACGCACGGCGTCCCTCCGCCTTGGGATAGAACTCCAGAGACGATACGGGATCGCTCGGTGGGACAGGCACCGTGCACTCGGGAAATGACAACGACGAGGGCATGCGGAACCAGGACGACGCGTCGTCTCGCGAGAAAAACACGATGCCCACCCCCACGGTGGTGCGTGGCTTACGTCATCGCCCATGTAGGCGAAAGAAAAAAAATGGGCCTCCGCTTGGCCGCGAGCGTGAGTGGGCAGCCAGCCAGCCAACCGCTTTTTCTCAACGCCATGAGTCAGGAGATCCACAGCCAGTACGACTCGATCCTGATCCTGGATTTCGGATCGCAGTACTCGCATCTGATTACGCGACGATGCCGTGAGCTGAACGTGTACTGTGAGATGCTGCCATGCACGCAGAAGATGGCGGACCTGACATGGAAACCGAAGGGTATCGTCCTCTCCGGCTCGCCCTACTCGGTGTACGACGATGTGGCACCGCGTGTCGATCCGGCGGTGTTTGATATGGGCGTGCCTGTGCTGGGTATCTGCTACGGCCTACAAGAGATTGCGTGGAACCATGGTGGTCGGGTCGACCCCCACGACACGCGCGAATACGGCCATGCAACGATCCAGGTAGTGCAGACGGGCAATGCGATGTGCGATGCGCTGTTCGCCAACCTGGGCCACGACTTGACCGTGTGGATGTCGCACGGCGACCAGTTGTCGAAGATGCCAGACAACTTTGAGATTATTGGCCACACGACCACAGCACCGTACGCTGCGATTGCGCACAAGGAGAAGCCGTTCTATGGTGTGCAGTTCCATGCCGAGGTCACGCACACAGTGTGTGGCAAGGCAATCCTAGAGAACTTTGTCGACAGGATCTGCCACTGCCAGCGCAACTGGACGATGGAGACGTTCATTGACAAGGAGGTGGCACGTATTCGCGAGATGGTCGGCCCTGAAGGCCGTGTTATCGGTGCCATTTCCGGCGGTGTCGACAGCAGTGTTGCCGCGCGCATTATGCACGAGGCTATTGGCGACCGTTTCCATGCGATCATGGTGGACAATGGTGTGCTGCGCATGGACGAGGCCAAGCAGGTGCATGAGATGCTGTCGGAGCATTTGGGTGTGCAGCTGACCGTCGTCGACGCGTCGGACCTCTTCTTGGAGCGTCTCAAGGACGTGGAGGACCCGGAGCGCAAGCGTAAAATCATCGGCAACACGTTCATTGAGGTGTTTGAGCGCGAGGCGGAGCGTCTGGAGAAGGAGGCAGAAGCACACAATGCCAAGTACGAGTACCTGCTCCAGGGCACGCTGTACCCGGATGTGATTGAGAGTATTAGTTTCAAAGGCCCTAGCGCTACCATCAAGACGCACCATAACGTCGGCGGTCTGTTGGAGGATATGAAGCTGAAGCTCATTGAGCCGCTTCGTGAGCTGTTCAAGGACGAAGTGCGTGAGCTCGGAAAGCTGCTGGGTATCCCTGAGCACCTCGTGATGCGTCACCCGTTCCCAGGCCCTGGTCTTGCCATCCGTATTCTGGGCCCCGTGACGCGCGAACAGGTAAAGCTGCTGCAGCAGGCCGACAAGATTTACATTGAGGAGATTCACAAGGCCGGCGTGTACAGCGAGATCAGCCAGGCGTTTGCCGTGCTGCTGCCTGTGCGCGCTGTCGGCGTGCAGGGCGACAAGCGGACATACGACCAGGTGATTGCACTGCGGGCCGCACAGACGACCGACTTTATGACGGCGACATGGTATCCGTTCGAATACCAGCTGCTCTCGCGCATTTCCAACCGCATTACCAACGAGGTGCAGGGTGTGAACCGTGTGGTGTTGGACGTATCGTCCAAGCCGCCAGCAACGATCGAGTGGCTGTAATCGAAAGAGTAGAAGTACATACAAAGAAGGAAAAGCACATGCATCTACATTAGCGCAGCTTCATGAAGGAGGCTTGCAAACTGCGATCGTCGGCACGGTCCATCGATTCACGCGCAGGCGTCCCGAGATCCCAGAACCGCAGCGTCTCGTCACCTGCACCTGTCACGATCGACTTCCCTGACGGGCTCATGGCCAAATACAGCACACGCATCGTATGCCCCGTAAGGGTCGCAACCTGTGTCAGGCTGGGGTACCGCCACAGCTGAATCTGGTTGTGGACATGCCCACTCGAGTACCCATGCGTACTAATCACCTCATTCGCTGTTTTGTTCCATGCCAAGTTGCATACCTGGCTGCCCGTCTCAATCATCGAGAGCGCTGTGCCTGTTTGGGTATTCCAGAACCGGATCTTCATATCCGCCGTACCACCACCAGACGCAAGCAGACCCTGCTGGTGCGGACTCCAAGCGATGGCCTTGACGGCAGCCGTATGTTCTGTAAATCGGTAGAGTGGCGTATCAGAAAGTCGATCCCAAATAAGGAGTTTGTTGTCGTTGCCTCCCGACGCCAGTTGGTCGCGGGCCGGATTCCATTTCAGGCCACACACTTCTTGGCGGTGGCCTAGCAGCGTCTTGATATGGTGCTCAGGCACACGCACATCACGGTGGTAGATCGTACGGTCTCGCGAACCTGTCGAGAGAACATGGTTGTTCCACGCCAACGCACCAACACGCGCTGTATGCCCCATCATCGTACGTAGCAACTTTTCTTTCTCCACGTCCCATATTTGGACCAATCCGGCCTGCGTACCCACCGCAAGGTACTGCCCACGCTCGGCCCAGCTGAGGCCCGTAATACTGTCTTGTACACCCTGCAAATCACATAGCTTGGTCACACTCGAGGTGGTCGCTGACCAGAGGTACACACACTTGCCGAGACCAACACTGAGGACATCCTGACTCGACCAGTCGACCAGGTTCAAGTAAAAGTCATCGGCCAGCTCCGGTGCATCCAGAACTTTGTATGGCACTTTGCTGACCACGCGCGTGGATTTTCGCGCATTCAACAGCAAACGCTGGCTTTCAGGCTTGACAGGCGACGTATTGAAAACATTGTGATTCGGCGAGTCCACTTGGTCATGTGGCGAGAGCAGATTGGGCGTAAGATGGCCAGGCGAGGCGGTCGGTGATATATAGGGCGCGGAACTTCGTTGCAGTTGAGAGCCATATAAATCTGTGTCACCCATCCACGACGTAGCTTCGCGCAGACGCCCAGCCGAGGCGAGCTGGGCTCCTGTGAGTGGACGCTCACGCCGTCGAGTCGGCGTAGTCGACCCAGAGTTCGGACTCCGGAAGCTCAGCAGGTTTTTCTTGGAGTTGGACGCAGGAAGGGAATCTGCGCGCGAAGTACGTGTGCCTGATGGGGAGCTCGTTTGTGGCGTTGAGGCGCCACCACGAGGAGGCGAAAGTATGCCCGTATGGCCATAGGACGAGGGAGAAGATGCCATATGACTCTCAGGACCAAAGAGTTCGGTACTGAGTAACATAGAGTACGTCTCGTTGGCTTCTTCTGCGAATACGTAAGTTGGCGGTTCATACATACCCATTTGCACATCCGTTTCGGGCATAGTCCGGCGTCGATGGCGGCTGCTTGGCGACATAATTTCATCGGGTATAAGTTGGAACGCAGCTTGCAAATCTGTTCCATCACGACTGGGAATAAAGCTGCGAGTCAGAGTATCAAACAAAGTACATACCGATCCCCATACGTGCTAGTTGTGCCACGGACACGGTGATGTCGAGGCGTTCGTGGAGTATCAATGGTAGGAGTAGATCGCGACCGAGGGTAATGGCTTGTTCCAGCCTGATCGAAAGAACCTGTCCTAGTACGATGTGATCCTGTCATGCGCGATGATGAAAGATCAGCGTCGTCCTGTCCATACGAAGAGATAGTGGAAGAATGCCGTAAACGACGTGCAAATTCGTTTCGGTACATTATCTCCCATAGAGAGGGGAAAAACTATACAGACGCAAAGAACTGGGCCGGTGGTACTGTACTTGCAACTGTACCTACTTTCAAGTTTCAAGGGGCACAGACAGGCGGGGGCGCTGCGAGACAACACACTTGTTGTCACGTGATACTGCCACGCCACGCTCTCCAGCGCGATCCATGCAAACCATAGCGTGTACGGCGATCCCTCACATTCTGACAGAGCATGTGATCTTTTTTTTTGATAAAAATATAAATCAACATGCAATCACCTTTGTCCCTCAACGTGTAATGCGTTCCGAGGAATAAAGAACATAGTTCATTCGCAAGCCCATATAGAGCAGTGTTCAAGTGAATGTGCTACATCGATACAGTATACTGCTGTCATGATCTAGTTTGTGGTCATGTTGTAGAGAGAAAGTGTTCTTATAGAAATATGATCGTACCAATATACATTGTTAAACCTACAGAGAAAGGCTGAACAGTTGCTACTAGTTGGCAGCCATACACAAATCATAGATCAAAAAACACGCGTTCCAGTACCATCATAATGACGTTCGACATGAATAGCAACAGAAGGTCATCATCACGCAGTGAGAGACGCGCTTTCATACCACTACACGAGAATTAGGCAGTAGCAAATATCGATGTGCGGACTTCCCCGACTTTTCAGCAGCTCGAAAACTCACCCAGCATGACCCCCAGGTTGATCAAACGAAACTACGGGGCTATTTCGCAAACGCGTCACGTCATTGGCGCGAGAGGGATCACACGGGCTGATGCTGTGGATCTTTTAGTGCAACCCTGATGGAAAATTGGACCTAATAGGTTATGTAAGCAAAACGTGTATATCCATATATGTACGCGAGGCGGCGTTTGTTTGTTATCGCCACAAGCTACCAACTATGGCGCGTACCAAGCAAACAGCCCGCAAGTCAACTGGTGGCAAGGCGCCCCGTAAGCAGCTCGCCACTAAGGCCGCTCGTAAGTCGGCCCCCGCCGCTGGTGGTGGTATGTATACGCCCATTGTACTTATACACTAACACGCGACAGTGAAGAAGCCCCACCGTTACAAGCCTGGTACCGTGGCTCTGCGTGAGATTCGTCGCTACCAAAAGAGCACGGAACTTCTGATCCGCAAGCTGCCTTTCCAGCGTCTTGTTCGTGAGATTGCCCAGGACTTCAAGACCGACCTGCGCTTCCAGTCGTCCGCTATTGGTGCGTTGCAGGAGGCCAGCGAGGCCTACCTTGTCTCGCTCTTCGAGGACACCAACCTGGCTGCCATCCACGCCAAGCGTGTGACGATCCAGCCGAAGGACATTGCCCTTGCCCGCCGTCTTCGCGGTGAGCGTTCGTAAGCATGTTCCCTTGATTGTTTCATTGTTATGTAGTAGTTTGCCACTTTGGGGGCAACTTGTGTTGTGAACTATATGTACACTCGTGCTAGTTAGCTACCATTGTGATGTTCAATTAAGTTAGAATGCAACATCATTGCAATTCATTCATGTTACAGGGCTTGTATCTGTATGGCCTTCTTCGGTACAACAGAGGGCTACGGTGGGAGGGGGGCCGAAAGAGTCATTTTCGCCCTTAGCGATGAAAAGGGGTATATACAAACTCCCCCAAAATACCCGCTGTGATGATTCAGCGATGGAGGCCTTTTTATTTTTTCGGATACGGTGCACGAATGTTTTGGAAATACGCATTGTGGGCACGTTCTTCCGTCACGCCGGCCTCGCGTGGAGTAAATGAAGTGTTGAACCTCAGCCGCGTGTTTATATCATGAACCCAGTCGTCTTGAAGCACAGGATGCTCCTGTAACGTGGATGCAGGTCCCACTTTACGCATCATATTGGCTTCACGAGAGAATACAATACTTGAGAGAGGGTAGGGTGACATCTGAATACAGGCGGACTGCTCGTGAGAGAGTGCTTGAATATTCTTTCCATCCACGCTCACATGAGCCTGGGAGCGTGAAGTCGGGGACACAAATACCTGTACTTGTGCATCTCCAGGAAGCAGAATGGTCCTGAAACTGAGTGAGCGTGGACTAATAGGTGTCAGGACCAAGGTTGATACAGAGGGATGTACAATAGGACCCCCTGCAGACAGAGAATAGGCAGTGGAACCGGTAGGCGTAGATACAATCAGACCATCAGCAACTGTTCGAGTAAGATGCTCGCCATTCACGAACGCGTCCATAGTCGTCATGTGTGGCTCGTGACCACGATGGAATACCATCTCGTTCATGAAATGTACCTCCTTACTGGACCGCACATTCTGAAGTGGTAACGCTTCATCAGGCTCTCGCCCCCAGAGAGTCAGACACATTCGCATGCGAAGCAATAACGTAAAGCGTGACGCCATAACATCAGCTAGGGCTTCTGGAAAAGATTGGATGTCGTATGGGAGAAGAAAGCCCAATGTTCCCATAGAAAAGCTAAGCACGGGGGGTATAGCATGATGGCTAAAAAGGCTGGATACATGAAGTATAGATCCATCACCTCCCAGTGTTATGACCAGATCGGTCTTTGCTGCTAGAGCAGCCTGATCATCTGTACAAATAAGACTCTCTCTGACAACATACCATCTGCAAAAGTATATAAGCTTGGGAATGTGCGTGCCAGCTTACGCCATACGTGCGCCTCAACTATGATGTTGAGATGGGGGTAATGTTGCTGAATATGTTTAATGACACCGTTGAATGCTTGTTCCACGCGTTCATCGTCCTTTTTCTTGATTAGCAACACATTGCGTGGCTTCTCTAGCCATCGAAAGGTATGTGCACCACTAGTATGTAAACAGAATCAAAGTATCCTTACCCTTTTTGATATGGAAGCGGTACTGTGATGGTATTTGCCATCTTGGGTTCGTCGGTAGCCGTCCAATCTGGTGCCCTGCATTGAGTCAGAGCCGACATACATACTTTATCTGTGGTTGGACGGAAATTGGTGCCTTAAGCGGCAACAAAGAGAGCGTGGACCAGCCTCTTTGAGACTTCGGCATAGTGCGGAGTGTACGTTTGCGCGCATGGGACAGCGCAGACATAGTGGCTATGTGCCGCATGACACTGTTAGCGATCGTCACAGGCGAATGTATGCAATAATAAAAATATGCGCCCCCAATGAAACCTGGCTGCGATCGGGCCATGTGGCGAAATCGGTCCAATTTGTTCAACACCTGTTGTTTTTGAGCTTGTCGTTCCTGTGGCGCCGATGGTAAGCTCCCTGTTGCCATGGTGGCCCAAGACATGGAATCCATTTAATCGGTGGCAATGGTCCAATGGATATGATTATGAGACATATCTTTCATCCTTGGCTGATGAAATTGAGTCTGTGGAATCAACTATTCTAGACATCAAAGCACGCAAGCGTCGTACGATCCACAATGTCCTTCAGGTCATGTTGACTCTATGGATCATCTCCCTAGTTATTCTCTGGGCTTTTTCGTCCTTCATATGGGGTAGAGAATGGGCTGCCTCGCGTTCAATGTTTGTGGTGCTCCTTTTGCTGGGTACGCCACTGTTTATTGCCGTACTGCATCGCTTGGTGACCATTTGGTTTAGGCGTCTGGAGCGTGCCCAAGAGTCCCATTTGGCTACGTTGCGTAAACAACAGAGGAGTAAGATCAATGAGATCAAGAAGGCGACTGATTTCGAGCACCTGCGAAGCCTGCTGGAGCGGTACGACACAGATTCCAGTGCGGGATCCTCCTTTGCTAGTGGGGTCACTCCAACTAAGTCACTGTTGTCGCGCCGCTCAACAACATCCCTGCGCAAGAAAACATCGAAGGAACCCTCCCGACTTTCGAAAGAGGCGGAGACCTCAGCCTCATCAGCTGAAGAGCAGGCCAAGAAAGCCGAAGTTTTAAAGATGTTGGCACCCCCTATCACTAGCACACCTGTCCAGAATGTACCCAGCACCACATCAGGATCTAGCGCTACTCGACCCACAGCTATGGGCGTTCATCCTCGCGGATGGATGGACAAGGTAGCCGACATGATTCTCGGCACAGATCCCTATGGTGTTACTCTAGAGGACCAGCAATATGCCCTTATCTGCCGCAACTGTTTCCGCCACAATGGCCTTGTTCCCAAGAGTGAACTTGATGAAATTCGTATGTATCCAAGGCTGCTGACACCTCAGAGTACATATGCCCCCATTGTCATGCGTTTAACTCGCGCCGACCATCAAGTCGACCTGTATCATCGCCTTTCGCGCGAGCTCCTCACGACATGACACCTGTCAAAGAGAAGCGCCCCACCCTACCTACTTCGGATGATATCCCTGACACACCAACTACAAAGCCTGAAGATACACATTCTCCCTCTCTAGAGCCAGCGCGGCGCAGCGCGCGTTTGAAGTCGCAACGTTCTTCGGACGACGCACCCTCTACTGAAGACATGCAAGTCGACGACGAATAGGGATATGCCTACTCTGACTGTCCAGCGTATCAGTCCATAGGCCATAGTTTTCATATCGAATAGCACAAGATTCCATGCATATACTACAGATGTGACACTGTAATCAAAGTCCATACAGAGTAGCAGGATCTTGGATATATGGGATCAATGAAAAGCTCGAATTTAGTGTCCACCATGAGCGAGGTGACCAGCCTTCGAGTTCACGTAGGCGTACTCCTTGTTGCCCCACGAGTAGATAAGGTAACCCACCACGAAGGGAATGCCCGAGTATGGCAGCTGCTTGCAAGCACGGCGGAAACCGTTGAAGAAGTAGCCCTTCACCACACCAGCGAAAGGCTGCTGCTGGAACGGCGAAACCGCTGTTCAACGTAAGTATGTCTGCTGGAACGTGAGAAATACATACAGTAGGTGATAATACCCTTCTGGGTCGGGCCACCAAACGCACCCCACCAGCCGATCTGTCCTGTCAGTACTCCGCTCTTGCGCTTTTCTTTATACGTACCCACTTGGGACCGGAGGGCATACCGCTCTGAACAACATTGCTGGGACGCATTTTGAAGGGATGGAACTACAACGTCGTCCTAAGGAGCAAGGACTCTACCACCACTCGGGGTTTTACGGATTACCAATCCACCTGGCCGGGTCACCTCTCTCGGCCGAAGAGGGGCAGACACGTTGAAACGCCGCGCATCGCGATGCGTCGTCCCCCCCTACTCTCCACAGTCTCTGACGACTGTATTCGGGTGATTGTTGGCCCGTTTCTCTGGACGTTGTTAAACGAATCAATACATTATCATGGTTAGCATTATTTGAGGAGTGCCTCGTACGGGAAAGCGGATGACGATATGCGCAAAACTTGCTCTGCGTGAACAAGTTTTCGCGTCACATACCTTCTGGGACCGGAACAGACAAGGACCTTGATTGCACAGAGTCCTTGAGGGCGCTTGCATGTGAGCCATGACAATATCAAAGAAAGGTATCCATCCATGCTCGTCTATGTATACATAGGCTATGGGTCCTGCCATGCCAAGCAACCATCCACCTAACTGGGATCGGCGCTGTCAAGCATGGACCTCTTCGTGAGCGTAGCTTGGATCATGGCGTGCGTGGTGATAACCTTATGCGATTGGTACCAGTCAAGTGAGATGAAGCATTCAACCTTTGACTTGCCTCCTCTACCTGCCAGTGTATGCAGTCCCTCTGGACTAGCGTATACGAGCAAGAACGACAGCCTTCCTTGTATGTTTCTCATACAATTTGAAAGGATGATGATAGTCTGTACAGGACGATGACCGTGCCTGGTCTTCGTCTGCCCCCGGTCCCCGCCTTACCAGCGGGTGCACTTCTTTGCGTGTTGGAATGTTGTGCTTACACTATATGGATGTGGTCATGTGGACGCTAACTTTTTTTTTCTGTACAGGCTTCGAACCTTGACAAGTGTACGTGATATGCCATCTAATTCGACAGCGCTCGACGAAATTATTTCTGCCAAGCGCAAGCAGAACCCGCGTCCTCGCCGTGCCGGTGCGCGCCAGTCCAGTGCTTCGCGCGGCAAGAGTGCCAAGGCTGCTGCACTTGGTAGCACGGCCACTGCTGCGGCTGTGAGCCAGGCTAATCGTCAGCAGCCACCGGTGGTGTTCCCACCGGCGGCTGGTAAGGGTAAGGGCAGCAAGGTGATTGTGAGCAACCTGCCTACCGACGTGACGGAGGCGCAGGTCAAGGAATTGTTTTCGACAACAATTGGTCCGCTGCGTCGTGTGCTAATGAGCTACCGTGCGAACGGCCAGTCGACTGGTGTCGTCACGGTGGAGTTCCAGCGTGGTGAGGATGCGGGTCGTGCGTACTCGCAGTACAACAACCGCCTGATTGATGGCAGTATGTATCTCAAGCGACGGCACTTACATACAGAGCGTCCGCTGAAGATTGAGGTCGTGGTCGACCCTGCGCATGCGCAAGTGGCTGCGGTGGCTCAGCCGAATGCTCAGCAGCAGCAGCAGCAGCAGACTGGCGGGAAGACCAAGGCGGCGAAGGCGAAGGCTCGCAAGGGTGGCAAGCGCCGCCGTGAAGACCGTCCGGCTAAGTCGCTGGAGGACTTGGATGCTGAGATGGAAGGTGTGTAGAAGGCTTACTAACTCTAGACTACTCCAAGCAGGCTTCCTCGGAGACGCAGCCTATGCAGGATGCGCCGGCTGCCTAAGGCGTGGATGTATGTATGCGTACGTAGAAGGCCCAAATAGGGACGTGTGTGTATTTCCTCGAGTGGAGGTCGAAGGCACCTCTCGCTGCGGCGTGCAGGATACACATCGTGCAGTGTAGCGACCGTGCGCGGCTGCCCCAAGGTCTTGATGTCGAGTGAGAGCGTGTCCCCTACCGAAAGATGGGTAGGGGAGACGCCTTCATGTCCCTACCCAGCGTCTTCGTCGATGAAAGCCTTGCTTCTACAAGCACAGTTGCGTACTCGTGTCCTGTCGTCCCAAGGTTCTGCGTTGGTGGCAGATATCTCGTTCGATGACAACGCTAACGGTAACAATGATGACGACGACGACGAAGCGACGGCATCACGCTTACTATCTCTCTTGCAAGTCTTATATACCTGTCCGTCTCATGACTACCATACCATGCTGGCTATTGCGCTGAATATCCATGACGTGCTACGGCCCGACACTCATGGCCCAGCCTACGTATACCCCGCGTTCGGACAGCACGGCGGTCTGTTAGCTATTGGACAAATTCTAGCGGCTCTACAAAGTGGACGTGAGGGTGGGCAGCCTGAAGCCGACGTGCGAGACGCCCTTGCCCGTCAGGCCCTTACGATCCTCGTCGATGCGATCACATACAGTGCCAGCAATTTCTCAGCGTTTGAACACATGCTGGGATGGCCCAGCTTAGTATCTTCGCTCACAGAGACGGTCCTTCCCAGCGAACTTCCACGAATTCTTGCGCTCCTGGTGGGCCTGGCTATTGCTGATATCGAGACGGGCGTGGCCTGGTGGAACGCCTACGAGAGTGGTGCCAACACCCCCTCTGGACCCTGGAAAGGCTGTGTATTGGTCCACCCGGCGGCCATGGAGGCGGCCTGGCATCTTCTCCCACGCATACCAGCTTCTGTGGTGTTTGACACACTCGCTCCCATCCTTGCGGAGCTGATGGCTTCACATCCTCGTCACCGAATCATGCTAAGCCGAACGTCTATTAGCACGTGTCTTCTTGAGGCATGGCTCGCTGGACAGGGTGGATCGTGGCCTATCAAACTACTACGGATGCTATGGCACGATGGGATCTTGCATACAACCGACATGCAGCAGCTGAGTAAGTTCTTACTTACGACGCCCTCGCTGGACGAGGCTGACGACGTGTTGACGTTACTGCAGGATCTCCTCCCCACTTCTTCTCGCCCGGCCTACCTGACATTCGAGTCTACTTGTTACAAGACAAGTACAGAGGGGATGCAGATCGCTGCGTTGGACCGTGTCTTCCCCCCGGACGATCCTACGTCCACCGGCTTCACGTTGGGGTTGTGCCTTCGTGTGGACCATATCCAAGGTGAAGCACAACTTCCATTAGTATGCCTGGGCGCGGCCAATGTTGCCATGCGGATCGTGCTGGATACCAAGACCCAGTCGCTCGTGTATGAGCCTGGCGGTATGGCACGAGGCACATTTGCACTTCCACGCTCTGTGTTGTCCCTGGGCGACACACATACTGTGATCCTTACGCATGCACGCTCTGCACCTAACGTCCTTTCGCCTGTGCATGTATACCTTGACGGGCAGCGTGTATGTACATTGCAAGTGCCATGGGCCGGCGCCTTTGCGCATCCTGCCCCGCTTCGTATCGGTACATGTCCCCTGGAAAAGGCTACCCAGACTGCGCATGCCACCTGGTCCGTCACATCCATATGGCTCCAAGCAGGTGTCGTTCCGTCCAGTCTCCCTCGCTTGTTCCACGCTCTCCTTCTTGCATCGTACACAGCTCCATGGCAAGGTGCTTTGGCACGTTACTTGACGTACTCCGATCGCGCTGCGCTGCTGGCTCATCTTGAGCACCTCGCGCATGTATCCTCCACGCCGACTGCCGCGTATACAGCGCTACATACAGCCTTGTTCGAGGCTGGGGCTCGTTCCTGTCCCTTGTCCGAGATGTATGTATACCTTCACGCTGCGCATATACAACGACAGTCTACGCGCACTGTATGTATCAACCAAACCTCTACACGAGCGCATGCCGAGCTGTATGGCGTACCGACTGTCTGTCATCCACGCTCCCTCGGTGTATCGATTTGGCAGGCTGGCGGGGGGACATTGCTGCTAACGTGGATCGAGCGTGCCACATCGTCTGAAAGTGTGGCCATGTGCGTTTCTCTCTTTGTGAATACACTCTCCCAGTCGTGGCGCTTCGCCGACGAAGCGGAGCGTATGCATGCCTACAGCATTCTGGGAATGCTATTGCGAGAGAAATCCGCGTACCTCACGCCGTCCATTTTTGCTACGTTGGTACAGGCCAGTATGGAAGAAAAGCGTATCATTAACGAGGCCCTATACCGTGCTGTCATACTTGATGTGGGCCTGTGGTCGCAGGCGCCCCCGTCTGTGCAGCTGGCCTATGCACAACACGACATTGTACCGTCCGATCGCAAGTATACCTCTCTGCCACTAGTGCGTCGTTGGCTGTGGTGGGCTGAAGGGGCACAAGCCGTTCCCATCGATACTGCCGCGTCCCTGGTCTGTGCAGCCATGGAAGTGCAATGGCATCCACGGTCTCTTCAGGCCTTTATGCAGACACTTACATGTGTCATGGCGCAGATCTCACCCTCTCTTCCGATGCTGGGCAGCGCCATGTACGCCAGGACTGATGTGGATCTCGGCACGGACCCCATCGAATGTGGTAGGGTCTATACCCCACCCTCTCCCACACGTCCTGTGCCTGCCCGATCCAAGGCGCTTGCACAAAAGTACCTGACCTGGATGGCCAACGCCGTAGCGTGCGATGCTTCACGCGCTGCAATGCTTGCCGAAACGATTCCGCCCAAGTGGTTCCTCATTTTGCTGCGTCCAGGCATGTCACGCGACGATACGGCGCCTCTTCTCTCGCTGGTCGGCCATTGCATGCTTGCATCCTCATCATTGATGTCGGCGTGGACTCGACTGGGTGGTTTCCGTGTCCTTGAAGCCTCGTTACCGCCCTTGTGGGATGTACCATGCGTACTCCCATGGGTATGGACCTGGCTCCTTGGCCCATGCCGGCCTGCTGCATCCCTGTACGATACCTTTGCACCGCCGGCCACCAGGGGCGAGAAGACCAATTCACTGACACTATCGCAGCCCCAAGCCCTTCGTGTGCTCGTGCTCTGCATCACAGCAGGCATTGCCGCAGGCGCCTCTCGGCCACGTTCGCGACGCGCGTCGTTGCCTACCATGCTCGTTCAAGATACACGGTGGATCGCCTTGGATCACTCCATCGCTCTGTTATGCGTCTATGCGTCAGAACCTTCCATACGTGCGCTTCTAATGTTGGCACCAACCATGGTTGGCGTTCTGCGTGCCACGTTACCACGCTTTGTCGATCGATTTTGCGCGCCCCAGGCAGCTCTCTGGTGTGATCAGCTGCTCGATATGCTAGCACAAAGCATGGCCCATGTCCTGTTGTCTTCGCCGACATTGACCCTATTGCATAGCATGCACGCTGCTATGCCTACACCTGACCCGCTTGTCCAATCGCGTTTGTGTGTGGCTATGTATACAGCACTGCTGGAGCATCTGCATGCCAGTCTGCGTGTGCAAATATGTACACGCCCTCTGCTGACCATGGTCGCCGGCCTATTGGAGCTTACCTCGAATGAGTCGATGCGGGCACGGACCTTGCAGCATCGCATGTACAAGATGGCCGAAGTATTGATTCAGGCGCCCCCGGCCCTGCTCACGCCGCACATTCGTGCACAGTCCACCTTGGCGTTGGAACGTAATGTCTTGCACAGCTTCGGTACATCCGATGCTTCGTCTGCTCTAGCGTTTTGTGCGGAGGGCGCCTCTCTTATGCTCACACCCTTGGCAGACGTCGGCTTTGTCAAGTGCTTAGCGTACCATGCCTACCAAGCAGCGCCCACTTCAGATCATGCTGTTCGGTGTTTACGCCATATGCAGTCGACGTGGCCAGACCTGCCTTGGGTCGATGTCCCAGTCGCCTCCATCCCGACTTTCTTTGCTGAGGCGTGGAACGAAGCATCGCAGGCCCAATCACAGTTCCTGCATAGCCTCGCACGCGAACGCGTACGAGCTTGGACCACACAACCTTCCGCGCGGGCCCGCTCTATTCTCCAAGTGCATGCACGTTTGCAGGCTTGGTACACACGCGTCGATGAGAGTGCGACACAGCGAACACGCCACTACGCGCAGGACACACATGACGATATTGCATGCATGCGCCATATTTGGACAGAAGCCAAGCATGCATTGCGTCAGTACAGTTCCACTGACTCGTGGGAATGTGCTTTAGATGCGACAGAGGGCCCCTGGCATATACGTCTTAAGCTGTGTGATGTGCCGCCCTTTGGATGGCATGCCACATCCCGCGCCGAACAGACCGAAGCTGTTGTGCCTGGCGCCGTGCCCATACCACACTCAGAAGAAGATGCGATGCCCTTGCCACCTGTCATCGATGTACCTTCTGTAACGACATCCTTGCCTACGTCAATTTCAATGTCCGGCTTAGAAGCTGTGCCTCCTTCCGAAGGGAGCATATCGTCTGCCGTACAAAATGCCTCGGTTGCCCCCTTCTCGTCTGCTTCCACGAACGAAGAAGACTATGACAAGCTGCGGTACATTGTGCGTGCCCTCGAACCTGGTGACGAGGTGCAAGGACTCCTCAATGCAGCTCGTGTTGTGGGCATCGATGTACAAAGCAGTTTAGTTCTGCTGGGAAAGCATCGCATGTATCTCTTGGACGATTATTTCCAGCGGCCGAATGGCGAGATTGTACATGTATGGGACGCTCCCGTGCATGAACGCGATGTGCTTCTCTTGGCTGCGGGGGTAGGGCAGGTGGCAGCCTCCGATGAGCCTATTCGGTCCTGGGCATGGCCACAGTTGCTCATGTGTGCCTGGCGCGCATGGCTGCATCGCCGTACAGCGCTGGAATTGTTTATGGATGACGGACAAAGTACCCTGTTGGTTCTCCCGTCGCATGCGCATGCTGCCCGGCTGTACGACATTGTGCGAGCGCATGCGCCCAAAGCCATCGCTGCAAGTGATGCACTGCAGGCCAGCGTCCAAGATTCCACTCCAGCTCCATCTAGGCTGGGTGTCTTGCGACGAACGACACCAGGGGAAGCGACACAGGCATGGCAGGCACGTCGTATGTCCAATGCCGCTTATTTGATGCACATCAACACGGCAGCGGGGCGGACAATGAACGACTTGACACAGTTCCCCATCTTCCCATGGGTTCTGGCCGATTATACAAGCTCATCCTTGGATCTACACGCAGAAACATCGTATCGTGATCTGGACAAGCCCATGGGGGCTCAAACCGAGGCACGTCGGGCGGCATTTGTGGAGCGGTACGAGCAGCTGGAGCAAGTCCATATGGACCCTTTCCATTACGGTACACACTACTCCACGGCCGCAAGTGTCTGTGGGTTCCTCGTTCGTTTGCAGCCGTTTGCGCGTGTCCTCAAGGTGCTACATGGCGGCACCTTTGATCTTCCAGATCGGCTCTTTGCCTCCATTGGAGAAGCATGGACCTCGGCAAGCCAGCGATCCCAGGCTGACGTGCGTGAGCTCATTCCGGAGTTCTTTTTTGTACCAGATATGTTTGTGAATCACAACCATTTGGATTTCGGTACAACACAGGCAGGGGTGCAAGTAAATCATGTTGTCCTACCGCCATGGGCCCATGATGATCCTGTATTGTTTGTGCAGCTGCATCGTGAAGCGCTCGAATCGGATTATGTGAGTGCACACCTGCACCGTTGGATTGATTTGGTATTTGGTGTACAAACGCGTGGTCAGGCGGCTGTAGCAGCGACCAATGTCTTTCATCCAATGTCGTATGCACATGCTATGGACTTGGAGGGTATCGATGTGCCGCTCGAACGACAAGCAGCTGCACAGGCCGTGCACAACTTTGGGCAGACACCACGCCAGCTATTCCCACGTGCCCATCCCTCCCGGTCCATCTTCCTCTGCGAGCCATGGCATACACAAGCAGATTGGCTGGCCACACCGCAATTCCTTCTTCCTGCGTATGGACCACATGCCCATGTCGTCGATGAGCCTGTGCGGATGATTGGCGGTGACTTATCACACTTGTACGCACTACCAGCACGCCATATTTTTCTGCGTGATCAGCGATGTATGCTGTCGTATAGTGCGCATACACCTACGATTCATTGTATCGGCGAAGATGGGCGTTGTACAAGTGTGCTAGAACATGCCACACAAGGCGCAATCACGGCCATGCTAGCGCTTGGTTCCTATCTTTGGCTGGGATCCGATGATGGCATGCTTCAGCTATGCCATCTTTCTACCATCAACTCAAATCTCACACCTAGTACAGCCTTGCATGGCCATACTGGCGCAGTACTTTGCCTCGCTGCATCCCAAGCCCTGGGCGTAGTCGTATCTGGCAGTGCTGACCACACTGTGATTGCGTGGGATATGCATCGTCACAAGTACGTACGCACCTTAACAGGGCCCGAGCAGCCTGTGGAACATATCGCGATCGACGAACAACAAGGCTGGATCTCCGCTGTGGTCGGGCATTCTATCTGGGTATGGTCAATCAATGGGACATGGCTCGCTCACCAAAGCACACGGAGTGTAACTTCGGATCCACCATCCAGCATAGCGATGATCTCACGCGAGTTCCATACAGGTACACTGGGCGTGATTGCGACTGGCCACCGCGGCGTTGTGGTGCTATGGGATATTGTCTCGAACCACACTGTACGTCGCGAACCACCACGGTGGCGTCTTTCGCAGCGAGCTCTCTTGCGTAGGTCAGACGAGGGGTCAGGCTCCATTACGGCCTTGTACGAAGCTTCTCCTCGCGTCTTGTGCACAGGTGACGAGCATGGATACATGTATACATGGGCCCTTCCTGGGGCATCTATCGCGCCACCCAAGGAACAGGAGCGATGTGTGGGCGCATGCAGACGTACACTTGGTTTTTTGGACACAAAACGTTTATGTCAAAGCTGCAGTGGCCTTGTATGCCAAAAGTGTGTGCGAATGCAAGGCCCACTTCGTTTATGCGATACCTGTGCTACGACGCTGGCGTCCCGTGGACTGGCGCTCTAATACCCTCTTTCCATACTTGCAATTTTGTCTATTCGTACATATGCATGCGATCGTACATTACGTGGCCGTCGTGGTGGATTGGCTCTTCGCTTTCGCCACCTGCTGTTGGATCTGCTCAATAATGGCTAAGTAAGCCTCACTCGCAGGGCTCTCTGGGTACTCTTCCACAAAGCTTTCACCCTGATCGCAGCATTTGGCGATGCGGGGATCCAGAGGCACACTACCAAGGAAGGCCAAGTTCAGCTCTTCGCAAAGCGCCTTCGCGCCACCTGTTGACGGATAAAAGATATCGGAGCGGCCATGGCATGCAGGACAGACGAACCCGGCCATATTTTCCACGACGCCCAGTATAGGCACGTTCATTTTTCGGCAGAATGAAATTTCTTTCCTTACATCTTGTAGCGATACCTCTTGCGGCGTAGTAATAATCACAGCGCCATCAATACCTGACTCACGTAGGAAGCCAACGATGGACAGATGCTCATCTGTCGTACCCGGCGGCGTGTCAACAAGAAGGTAGTCAATCACAGGCGCGCCATCTGAGGGCGGCTCAAGACCGCCAGTCCAATCGACATCTTTGAGGAACTGCTTGATCAGGCCGTTCTTCTTCGGGCCACGCCAAATAATCGCTGCGTCCGAGGATGGCAGGAGGAACTCCACTGACATACACGCCAGATTGTCAGAGACATACACTGGTGACCACCCTGCAGAAGATGAGTGGATGTACTGGTTGCGTAGGCCCAAAATCGTAGGAATTGACGGTCCACACACGTCAATATCCAAGACAGCCGTTTGTGTGTGCGGGTTGCTTGCACAAGCCCATGCCAGTTGTGACGTGAACGTGCTTTTCCCTACACCTCCCTTGCCACTGAGAACAAGAATTTTGGAGCCGATGCACTTCATGCGCTCTCGAATCAGTGGAAGATCAGGATCAGGGCCCTTGGGCGCTGTAGCACAGTATTCCTGGTTAGCACACCCATCACACGCACTGGCCAGACCTGCGAGGTCAGAGTCGACCCCTGGACAGTGCTCTGGTGCATCCTCAGGCAGGTGATCAGGCCGAGGCCGTGCCAGGCCCTCGGTATGTGGCTGCATTACATCGACCATCGTAGGAAGGTGGCAAACTTCGTACGCGTGTGACTTTCCCTCCACATGAAAGATGGCGTGATGAGATTACGCGCTATCTCAATCAAAAAAATTATTTACTATATTAAATCGCCTCGAGCCACATACGCACGGTAGCGGCGAGCAAGGGAAAGGCATGAAACTCGGCAATCGCGAGGGCATGCGTAAGCCTTCGCATGGTCGTGGCGGCAGGTGATTTGTGCACCCATGCGCCAGAGCAACTGCAGTACGGTGCCAAGTTGCCAGTATGAATGCGTCCACATCTCTCGCAATGCAGATCTTGCACGGCATGCTGGGCCACGTGCTGCTGCACTTGGGCTACTAAACGAAGCTCAATCTCAGTGCGGTCATATAGGGTATCGCAGCGTGTGCAGCGCCAATCATGATCATGCGGATGAGCCAACAAGTCAGTATCACGGCACAAGTCCAGGGTGCGGTCTTCATTGCAGAACTGGCAAATGACCCACGGAAGTCGGAACGACAAGCACGGGTTTCGCCATTCGGCCACAGGGGCAAATTCTCGTACACCGATCAGGTCGAGAAGATTGCGCTTGCATACCTGCGCTTCTAAAGCCGCTTCTTTGTGCAAGGCCAAAACACGCGTCGTGGCTTTGATAAATTCCAACGCGGGGTTGTTGAGGTCGAGATGCGAGCCTGGTAACTGAGGGAACGTCCAGCGATCCGCATCGATACCGCTCTTCCACTCGGTTTGAATGTCGCCGACCATACGAAGAAGGCGTGGGGTCATGACATGCGCAATGATGTCCATGACCTGCTGAGCCTGTCCTGCCTCTTCCTTCTCCACGTCGTCGGTAGCCGTGGGCTTTGACGGCGTGTTTTGTGGCAGTATTCGCATCACAGGGCGATCGCCCGTCCCCTCGACGTACTTCTTTTTGGCTCGGTACAGCTCATAAATGAACAGACCAATGGCCTTGGCAAATCGCTCTTGCAGCGCAGGCGGTAGGAACGCTTGTATATTCCAAGCCATTTCCACGTCCACATCGTCCGGAAGTTCCGTAGCGTCTGGATCGTGCGCAATAACACCACCCATATTCGCCATATCCAAGAACAGCAAGTACTCCCATACATGCACGAGGTGGAAAGACAAGTGGCGGAATACGTCCGGCGATGTGGCTGCACTTAGCAAGTACCGCCCGAACGCCGCTGCACTGCCTGCGGTTGGGCGATTCGTCAGCAAGATGAGTCGTGTATAGCTCGCATACACAATCTGCACACCCAATCGTCGGAATTCGGCAAGGAGCTGCAACATCATCTTGCGCATCAAACGCTGCAAGAACCGCTGCAGCGCTGGCTCAAACAGCGCAGATCTTGTACTGCACGCCCAACGCCAGAAATTGTCGGCAAGGAGCGAGGCGCAGGTGGAAGCTCCTCGTGTCTTGTCAACGTGCCATGTTTTCACCATGCTGCGGACCGTCGCAAAGGTCTGTGATGTGAGCACGGCGTCGCCCAGGTCCGTTGACACAGGCACATGGCCACGCGCATAGTCATCTAGAGAATGCGAGGCAGCATCAAACGCCATCGATGCAGCACCGATACCTTCCATCGCATGGACACTGGCACTCTGCAGCACACAGTTCAACGCAAGGTCGGCCACTTGGATTTCGAGGCACACGTTGGCATATGCACCTGGGTTGATCACTTCCAACGCATCCAGTTCGTCGATCACACCGGCATGGGCATCGTCTTCACGACCGCCCAAATCGGGACGGGGACCAGAGGACCACCATAGCACCATATCATTTAGTTGCAAGCGACGTGCAAAGTCCAGATCACTGCCAAACAGTGCAAAATCCCGTTCCATATTGCATACCGGCACATCCAAATGCGTCGCCAGCTCAATCCAGCGGGCCAGCCACGCAGACGTACGCAAGTAGCAGCTGACCATACGGCGGGCTGCGTAGGGCTGCCAGCCCAACGCCGGCAACGCATCCTCCGCGCGGGCTGCTGGCACCATAAGCACAGGCAGCTCCATCGACAAGTTCATGTGCGTATCATAGTATGAGAGCGAACGCGAAGTGCACACAGTCAGGAACGCCGCACCTTGCCGTGCTGCTTTGGCTTCACGTACATCCTTGATCAGCGCACGGAATGCTTTTGTGAGGTTGGTATGTACTGAAACTTCGGTATGCAGCGACGAGGGGTAGTCAAATGCACCTTGGCCATCTCCGATGCGCCCTGCTTTGGCCATCGCCATATGCCGCTCCGTATACAGTGCTTCCAGCGACGGCCATTGCTGCAAGCCTGCCGAGTCGACCAGGTGGACTCGCGTAGTGCCATCACTGTTGACAAGGACAAGTACATGGCGTTTGCCATCCGAGGCATGGTATAAGTACAAGGTACGCATAGCGCGACCACCAAATAGGTAGGACGATGCCGCGCCTGAGGCATGAGATAGATCCGAGAGAGGCAAGCCCTTTTCCAGGGCCTGATGCAGCTTGGCGCCACGGCGCAGCGTGCAGGTCGTACCTAGCTGTAGGATCGCACGCACGTCCAGCGGTACATGTCGCTCGTACACGCCATCAACGTTAGGGTGGTTCAATAGTCCTGCAAAGTGGTACTCATTCGCCTGGAACTCTTCTTCCGGGATCGTCAGCAGCATCAAGTGTCGCACAGGGGCACCTCGGGGCAGCAGACGATGCACCACTTCTGCACGATAGGTATCGAGGAGCGTACCAGGCGCCGGCATGTGCACAAAGTTCACGTACAGCTGGCGTGGTACATGCAATCGGAGAGCATGCAATTGGCGATCCACCAAGACCCACATCCGGAACTCACCCGGTCGCGCGGTCGGCGCAAGCTGTACAATATCCCACGCAGCCGATGCCATCGCGGTGCTACGCTCTGCCAGCATCCCGCCAAGAGTAGCTGGACGTCGCTCTGTGCCGTCACGACGCCGTTCTGCACGACGCTGCCGCCACCGGCTTCGCATGGCTGCAACCCATCCAGGATAGTCCTGCTCGATATCAGGTATCGACAGCTCTGGCGCTGGCGGCGGCGTTGGCTCACGAGCCACGCTTGGCTGCGCTAGCACGGCGGCGGGCGCCTTGGTGCGGGCCCGTACAGCTTCGCCATGGAACAATGTATCGAGTTTGGCCTGTGTCACCTTGTCTTCACGCGCGGCCACGCGCTTGAGTAGCCAGTCAGGATGACGCACACGTGGCACTGGGTTGGGCACACGTTGCATCGCGGCTGGAATGGTGATGAGCTTTTGAATGACACCGGCAAATCGCTCAATGTAGTACTGCCAGTCAAGAATGTTGCGGATATCAAAGTTCGTAAGCGTGTTGTCTTTCAAAAAGCGGCGGAGGAAATGAGCCTTTACATCTGGCTCTGCATTAAAAATGGCCACAGGCACAGCACGCTCGGTCACAGGCGCACCATACGGCTTAGCAGAGACAATAAACTTGCACGCCAAGCCACGGTCCTTGACGACCTGCTGTCCCAGCATCTCAGCTAGACGACGTGCTGTCGTAATGGCTGTCGACTTTTGGGAACCATATTCACTCAGCAGTTTCGACATGCTCTTGTTCTCGGCAATCAGATCAATCAATTCCTCATCATGGAGCGTCGAGCCTTTGCTGTACAGCACATCCAGCCACTGATCCGCAATCTTGGCTACAGCAGCGTAGCAACTCACGAGCGAGTCACCCAGCAAGAATTTGCTGAAAATCTGCTTTTGGAAATCTTTGATCAACTGAAGCTCACCACGTCTCTTCACTTCGAATCCTTTCAGCTCAGCGAGCGATCCATCCTCATTAAAGACAGCATACCGTTTTTTCAGCAGCTTGTCCTCTTCTTTACTGGACGGGAGGATCATCGCGCGATATGGGCCATCCAGTTCGAAAAAGATACTGTTCTCACTGTGCACGTTGTACTCGCCTGTCTTCGCATCCACTAGGTCATGATACTGATGATTCGTGAACCGCTGATGCACCAAGTAATTCAGCATTGTACATGGATAGGATACGCCGAACGACTTGCCGTTCCGACATTGGAACGTAAAGTTCTCGGGGAATGTGCCAGGAAGCATACACCAAATACCATCTGTATCCAGTTCCAACGGCCGTCCAATCCGGTCGACCAAGTCTTTGGCCATCTGAATGATCGTGGCACCCGTCAGACAGGTAATACCTGCCATCTCCATCGAGTACCATCGCGCACCTTTACGCATGACATACCCGTAGAACGAGTTTAAAATACACTTGTGCGCCAATTGCAAAGAGTCGTACAGCACGATCATCTTCTTCGCTTCCAGCGTGTCGTTCAACGCGCCGCTCTCCAAGGCCTTGTCAAGATTCTTCTTCCACTTTTTATGCAGGCCTTTGTACTCGTATCGACGATCACGGAAGTCACGCACGGTATTGATGTAGAATGGGTTCTCGCGCTGGCAAATAATCGCTTCACGGACCACGGTCTTGGTATCATGTGCACGCTTGTACACTTTGCGACTGTAGTCAGCCAAGCGCTTCTGCAGCAACGCTGACTGCTCCGTGGCACTCAGGTCCTGGTACGAGCGTGGCTTGCTATTCGCATCGCGGCCCGGGAACGTCTCCATATCAAGTGCATGGCGGATCATATTCACTTCGTCGCGCTTGGCAGGGAAATATTCACCACGCCATGCCCATTTCATGCGTTTGTCGCATGTCATGCCAGGTCGGTTGTAGTCACACGAAGCACACATGGCTTCAGATACCACGGAATCAGGTTGCAGACGATTGGATAACATGATATTGGGGTACATCGCCGCCACATCCAAGTGGTAGATCAGTGGCTTGTCCTGGCGGATGGGGTTGTCTCGCAGAGCCTCCAACATGCTACTAATCTGGCCTTTCACCTCGTCAAAGTTCTCAATATCGTCGAGGGACAAATGGCCTTCTTCCACGATACTGAACTTGAGCGATCCGTCCAGATCATCAATGAGTTGCTGCATCGCCGCTGGCTCGATTCGGAAATCGGTCGGAATATCACTGCGGAATACGCCTGCTTCCAGGGCTTCCACATGTCCACCGACATACGTCTCTGATTCCAAAATATGCCCTTCAAAGGTGTTATCAATCGGATCCACATGTCGGTTGGGCATCAGGATATTGCTCTTGTAGGCCTGCACCATCAGTAGGGTCTCACATAGCGTCCCACTACCCTTTCGCAAGACTTCGTCTGGGTTCAACGGAATGATATTGCATAGAGAGAAAATGAAGGGATGCACATATTTCATGTAAAGATAGTAGGTAGCAACAGCATCAGATACCGAATACTGTGCTAGCGTTTGAGGCTGCTCTGATGCATAGGGCGTCATCAGTTCTGGATCCAATTCCATGGGATCATACCCCAGCTTCGCTACCGTAACAGCTTTGAGACCTTGACTGCCTTGTGGGAGGTAGGAATCACGCTTGACCCAGCGGAAACAGTCCAAATGCGAACAGTGGCGGCTCTTGTACTCATCGTCCGAGTCCTTGGCAAAGCCAATCTCTTGGTACATATCAATGCCGTGGATCTTGGCACGTACATCCACAAACATAAAGTCGAACGAGTCACCGTTGTATGTTGCAATTACCGTTGGTCGAGCTTCTTGGATATGGCCAAAGAAGCGGCGGAGTAATGCTACCTCGTTCGGCTCATTAAAAATGATAAAGGGACCTTCGTACTCATCTTTCGGCGTGTACTCAAAGTCTTCGATATCCTCGCTAATCACTTCGCGGTTCGTGATGAGGAAACCTTGTCCATCAATCATATACGAAATCATCATGATCACATCCGACTCCGCATCTGGGAACTTGAGCGGCTGCTTTGTCGTCTCAATATCAAAGGCCATAACCACAGGATCAGCACGCTTCACACGCTCTGGCACTACACGTAGTGTCACCTGCCCTTCATGGAAACTCACATCGTACCACAGACCAACACGGATGTCGTTATCGATAGCCACTCGAAGGTAATAAGGCACATCATATTCCCAGAGCGCCACAATACATTGTTCTGCATTCTTTCCACCGCTTCGTGCCTTCATCGTCACTTTAGCATCGTCTGTTTCCAGACCAATAGCGAAGTCCGCCTCTCCTACAGAGCTGGTATCTTGCAATACATGGGCATAGGCTTCCATCGCCGACACTTTCTTTTGTGCATCTTGTGCCAGCGGAAGTAGCTCTTTTCGAACGGTAAGGAGATCATGTACGTTCATGAATCGCAGCTGCAGGGCTAAACGTTGATGCCCCACCAAGTGATTCGGGAGCTTAAGGTCTTCCACATGCTTGCGCTCGATAGAGTGCAAAGTACCTTCAAAACGGCGTCGAAGCCATTCTTCAACGATAGACTCTGTACCAGGATAGCAGCCCAGCAAGAAGTATGGCTGGTATACGACGGTTACCTTGAACATAGATGCATCATCCTGCACAAAGTAGTAGTCTACGCCTGATCGGCCCGTTGGGTGGGTCTCATCTGGCAACAGCGTTGGATGCATATTGACCATCCAAGCTTGTCGAGTTTCGCCTTGTTCGATACGCTGGAACCCCATGCGCTCATCAATCGCGTCATGTTCGCGTACAGCGGCAAAGCGTTCTTCCAGCAACGAAGCCGCTGCCTCAGCACTTGAAGGGCCACCAGCTCCGCGTGCACCGCCACGTTGTGAGGCGCCAGTGCCACGTCGTCGAAATGTACCACGGCCACGTCCGCTTGCCGAACGCGAAGGTACGAGGCCTAGAGTACGTGGGGCTGGCATATCGTATGCCTGCCTATGGGCGGTAGAGAGAGACTGGAACGTCTAGCAGGTGGGTGCGCGTCGCGTCGCGTAGGGCTTACATTATAATGGAGGCGTGTATATACTATGGACTCGCGTCGCTTCGACTTCTTTGCTTCCGTCTAGCATGGGGCCTACGCCCATGCGAGTCTCTCCCAAAGTAGCACGAACGACAACACACGATGCAGATCTCGCTCGAAAGCGATTAAGGGAAAAGTGCTTGTTAACTATCCAAAAAGAGCGTGCCGATAAACGGTCCACGACACTGGCTCACATGCGCCAATCTGCATGGCTGTCCCATGTCATGCAAGAGGAAGCGCGCGAAGGCGTTCTCAGTGAAGAAGTACGTATGTACCCATACTTACTTCTAGGAAATTGGCTGTATAATAAGAGAAGAATACGAAAGGGCTCTACGTGACTATGAACAGCAAGGCCGTGAAGAGCTTGGTGATGTTGATATTGATGCCATGCTACGTGTCGAAGATGATATTGTTAAAGAATCAAAAATGCATTTCGATTATGAACAAGATTGTGTACATATGGAAATAAACTAGGTCGCCATCATTAAAACATTATTCTTCTCGTGTGTGGCCTAGAGACGTTTCTTGCGCCAGGGCATGCTTAGTAGCGTCCGCCACCGTAACCGGCGCCCATACCTTGGCCGCCGTAGCCACCACCCATGCCGCCTTGGCCACCG